ACGACGGACGACACATCTGCGCTGAAGAAAGTGCATTGAAGGCGCTGGTGAAAGTGCCGCAAAGACAGTCTGAGTGGGTGGGCGAGTCGGGGGAGGGGGGGACCAGGGGGTGGGCTGAGGGAGGAAGGGTGTGGGTGAGGAGGAGGAGGAGGAGGAGGAGGAGGAGGGGGGGGAAAGGGAGTATTTTGTCAGGAGGTGGAGGGGTCGTCAGGGGGGGGGCGGACCAGGGGGTGTGTGAGGCTGAGGGAGGAAGGGTGTGGATGAGGAGGAGGGGAAGGGGTTTGCCAGGAGGCTGAGGAGTCGGGCTTGGTGCACAGGAATTGGTGTGTCCAGAAGGTCATGCAATTCAATCCCCGGCCCTGCCCTGGAAACTATTCGGCCTCTAACCCAACGGCATTAAACTTCGATCTGTTGGCTTTCCACTCAGGTTTCCGATTCCTGGGTCTAGATGCATGTGCGATTAATTAAGCAATCGGGCTCCTGGTGCAGGACAGATGATGCATCGGCACTGCGCAGGTCGTGCCAGCCTTGGCAAGGAAGGTTGAAGAGCAGGGCTGGGTTTATGATTTACCACGGTACCTGCCTGAAACCCCCAACCCCGAAAAAGCTCAGCATGTTGGAGGGCTCATTACCCAGTCTTAGTTTGAGTGTATGTGTATGTGCATGTGTATATCTGTATAACTGTATGTATGTGTATGTGTATGTGTTTATGTGTAGGTGTTTGTGTATGTAGGTGTATCTAGGTGTATGGAGGTCTATGTGTGTATGTATGTATGTATGTATGTATGTATGTATGTATGTATGTATGCATATATGTATGTATGTATGTATGTATGCATGTGTATCTGTGCATCTATGTGTGCACAGGCCATGAATAGACACTCTCACCAGCGTCCATCATGACAGAAAGACACTTTCGCCAGCGTCTGGGTTTCGGCCTGTGTCACCCTCCCCCTGAGATGCCTGCGTTCATCATCTTTTGTCGACGAATCCTGCCATCATCTGCAGATCGATGTTTATCATGCCGAAAGCCAATAGAACAAACCTGGCTGATGAAAGCTGCATGTCTTTTTTTTGCCAGCAGCCAGCTTCGCACAGCTGCAGCTTGTCTCCTGATACAGGGGAGTTGAACTAATATTGCTCTCTGAATCTGAATCTGAGTCCTGCTGGCCTCAGCATCACCTGGGCATCGGCAGCGGCTCCTGCCAAATGCCATCGTGCACATTCATCCGAAACACTGGGCTCAGGGTTGGGGGGCCTCATCTTTTGTCATCTTCTTTTCAGCGGCTTCCTGATCAAGTGAGCAATGAGAGCTCCTCAAGTATCTGATCCAGCGAGTCCTCCTTTGCCGATCTCGCAGCGGTGCTCGCCTGGGCAAAACATCATGGCTTGTTTGTTGATTGACATTACTCCCGAAACAGCGCACTCACCTCACCATCGCCCTTTGTCTTTGCCTTCTTGGCATCTTTCACCTGATTTGGGAGGTAGCATGATTCTTGATTCATTATCTGATTTACGTGCTGGCTCAGACTGAAAGACTTGCCTCCGCCTCTGGGACCACCCCCGCCACCTTCTGCCTCTTCGCACTTGGGGCCTGAGCGTTTGTTCTGCGGCTAGCATGATTGGCTTCATCTCACGAACAGGCTACTGGAAAGGAGCCTCCAGAGCCTTGGCCGGTTTAGCCGTTTTGACCTCCTTCTTGCCCTCCTTGGGGCCCTCCTCCTTGGCCTGGGCCTCCTTCTTGGCCTGCCTTTCCTGCTGTTCCTCCTTGGCCTGGGCAAAGGCCGCTGCCTGGGCCTCCTTGTCCTTGGCCGCCTGGGCCGTCTTCTTTTCCTTCGCCTCCTGGGCTTTCTGCATCTTTGCCTCTTTGGCGTCCAAGGCCTGGGGCACAGAAGAGAGGATTGCTTCGACTTGAGGATTGCTTCGAAATGTGCAGCAAAGAGGCCCGACGCTTGTCCAGTTCCCGGCCCATCTCGCTGCTGAGCTTTTTGTACTTGTCCTGACGCAGAACATAAAGCTATGTTGGGAACAAGATGGTGCCTTCCTGGCCTTCTCGGCAACTGCCTCGTGGATCTGTTCCTCCAATTCGGCGATCTTCTTGTCGGTGTTTACCTGACACCAAGGAGCATCATCAGCATCGTAAGATAAGATCATGATTGTCCGTCCTTGTACTTCTTTCCCCTCTCCACCGCGTCCAAGGCCTGCCTGAGATCTTCTCCTGCCCTCACCAGCTTCTTGTCCTGCTGGCCAATGGTCTCCTTGGCCTCTTTCGCCTCCGTCAAGAGCTTGGAGATCTGGGCCTTGCGTGTGGCAGTTCGGGGTTGAATTGCTTCCAAGTCTTGAAGCACAAAACGGGCTGACTGTGGAAATTCGGAATGAAATGCAGTGGCCTTGTAGCCGTCCAGGGCCTTGTCCTTGTCGCTGTTCATGGACTTTACTCTGTCCTCATGGAGAACAGGCTAAAGCAGAAATTTCAAAAGTAGATACCTGCCTGGCAGGCCTTCTCGGCCCGCGTATCCTTCAGGGCTGCCTCGAGGTCCTGGATGCGCTTGGCCTGGTGCTCCTGGCACGAAACAACGCATGTCAAAGTTGCAACATGATACCACCAGCATGGCCTGTCCTGGAGCTTCCTGGAGACCTCCTGAGCTGTCTCCCGAGTCTCGGCTGCGAGACGCTGCTCCTCCTTCACCTTCTCTGCAGCAGCCTTCTCGTTCGCTTGTGTGGACTGCGCAAGAAGGCTTCCGCACCGGCGTTCGGTGTCTATCTTGTGCAACTCGCACTGAAGCCTTGTGACCTCCTGCTGAAGACTGCTCACTTTCTTCTCCGCCCGGGAGAGGTCTCGGCGGTACTGCGCGGCATCTTGCACGTGGCCGCCCTTCTTGTCGTTCTTCTGCTGCTGGTGCTTTTGCTTCTGCTGTTTCTGGTTTTTCAAGGTACCTTGCGACGGCTTTCTTTGCCACGATCCTATCGTAGTGGGCTGCCTCTGCCACGAGGAAGCAGAAGTCACCTGCGCTGCAGGACAATCTGTTGACAACAGTCTATGAGTGGAGGTACTAAGCACTTTCACCAGCGCTCAGTTCTCAGACTAGACCTGGACCCTTTGAGCACTTTCACCAGCGCTCAGTTCCTAGACTTGGCCTGCCTGGCAGACCTGCGAGCACTTTCACCAGCGCTCATTTACTTAGTAGAGTGACCCGTGCCTGCTCTTCCACTTCCACTTCCTCTTCCTCTTCCTCATCTGCTTCCTGCTTCTGGTCCTGGCAGCGGATTGTTTTGATGTCAAAGAAGCTTAAGGTTTATCTGGCTTGCTGAACAGACCTGGCCTGGCCACCGGCTTCCGAAGGTGGCGGGGGTGGCCCTGGCGGGGGAGGCCCCGGCGGGGGTGGTCCCGGTGGTGGGGAGGGCCGCTCGGCGGAGGTGGGATTGGCAACTGTGGCGGCGGTGGCGGCGGAGGCCACTTGGCGGATGCTCCTCGTCGTGCAGACTCCTGTGCACTGGCAGCAAAAGCCAAGCCAACTTTAATTCAAAACAGACCTGCCTCTGTCCATGACGATGCCCAGGTGGACCCGTACCGCCCACTATCATCCTGACAAAAAAAGTCATACTTGGTCATGGCAGGACTATCCGAAGTCGACTTGACTGTTTGTACACCCCACAGGCTCCTGAGCTGCACCACCAGCTCCTTCCCATTGTCTTCGGTCCTGACAAGTGTCTCTCACTCATTCTGAAAGTGGTATGTACGCCCCAGAGGCTCCTGATCTGCCATACCTGCACATCCAGCTCCTTCCCATTGACTTGTGTCCTGACAATTGTCTTTCACTCATTCTGAAAGTGGTTTGTACGCCGCACAGGCTCCTGAGCTGCCATATCTGCACCTCCAGCTCTTTCCCATCGACCTGGGTCCTGACAAGTGTGTGTGTGTGTCTCTCTCTCTCTCTCTCTCTCTCTCTCTCTCTCTCTCTCTCTCTCTCTCTCTCTCTCTCTCTCTCTCTCTCTCTCTCTCTCTCTCTCTCTCTCTCTGAATGTGGTTTGCACACCCCACAGGCTCCTGAGCTGCCCTTTGTGCACCTCCAGCTCCTCTCATTGCTTTCGGTCCTGACAATTGACACGTGTCTCTCAGTCATTCTGAACTGATAATCATGTTGCGTGGGCACTAGGGTCCTCTGTCTTGTCCGAATTTCGTGCTGCCATGCAGAAGGCTCGGAGAAAAAAAAGTTCTGCTACCCTACCCTATATTGCCACTTATTGCTGAGATCGACACATTGCTTATTTGGTATCCTCACGGCACTACTGCGGAGGTCTTTGTACATAAGCTGCCACAAAATACTTGGGAATTCTATACATGATATAGCTGTGTCGTCACACACACTTCCCGCTCAGGGACATGTTGAGTTCTGGGTTAAGTGCGGCTTACACAAACTTAATTCACTAATTGAGCTGTCTGCAACTGAGGGATGACAGGCACAGGTGACCATGTTTTCTTGGCTGCAGCATTCTAATGAGTAGATTTGCTTTGTCTGCTTTTTGAAACCTGGTGGTCCGGGTTCGTGTCAGTAATACAAGCGATAGTGCAGGCACGCTGTCATGTTCCTTTGTATTGTTGCTGTTGGCCCTGTGCAAGTCTGCATGCCATGTGTCGAGCCACAGGAGGGGTGAAATCAAGCAAGGGCCCACATGCCAAACAACTGTATTCCTGAAAAACAAGCAAGGGTTCAGCAGCTGCAGGTGCCATTGCCTCGTCTCGGCACTTCGGACAGAAGAGGCAGGAGCAGGCAGTGCAACTGAGGACCTTGCACACCAGTCTATTGTTTAAGGCTGTGTCACACACAGACTGACGCTGGTGAGAGTGTCAGTCAGGCAGGGCAGCATGTGCCATGACGCTGGTGAAAGTGTCACATGCCAAGAGCTGCCACAATGCTGCTGAATACGTATCTGAGGTAGCCGCGCAAAGCCATCTCCGAACCTGGCACAATGACAAGTAATCTCGGCAGGTTCAATTCTGCGCCCAAAGACACTTTCGCCAGCGCCTGAGTCAGCACTTTCTCCAGCGCTGCATCGAGTCTCAGTGTTCTAGTTGGAGGCTACTGCTCTGACCTTTCAGAGAAGACATCAGCAAGATAATATGATATGTTCGGGGGCAGAGTCTCGTATGTTTTGCAGAACAGGGCCCCATGGGAGGCATTTCGGGTCTGTTGAAATGATGGATTCCACTCTGCAGGTACACTTCACTTCTCTCCCAGGGCACTTTCGCCAGCGCCTGTGTTTCTCGGGTTTTGTGTTTCTCAGGTTTTGGCGTGGGAGTCCGCCTTCCCCGGGAGAAGGCGGACTGCCGGGGAAAACGCAGGAAAACACGGTTAAACGCGGTCTCAGCGCACATTTTCGCTGTCCCGTTCGTCGTTCTCCGGTTGGTGGTTACCAAGCCCTCGCTGGCATATTTTAGCCATCCTTGAGGCTCAAGAGGTTGACAAAGGCTCCAGTTTCTCCCAGATGCCCTCTGGAAGAAAGAAGCCATCCAAGAAGAAATCTTCGACGCGTCGCCTTGGCAAAGCCTCCACTTTGCCGGGTGCCCTGTGGGGTGCCTGGTTGGACCACGTCCTCCGGACTGGTCCGACTTGGTTGTGGGTGGCCTTGGTCTTAAGTCATTGTCTTTGTCTTCGCATATCTGAGGTTCTGCGGCTCCGCAGACGCGACTTCCGCTGGGAACAGAATCAGGTCTATGTGGGGCCATTGAAACAACAACCCGGAGTTCGGAAGAGCATGCTTACAGCACTAGTTCCAGTGTTGAGAAACCTTCGTGATCATGGAAAAAGCCGTCGCCGCAAGCAGCACAAGGGCGCGCGGGGAACCGTGGCCTTTGCCGACAACTGGGCATGGCCCAAAGATGATGCTGGATTTCTCTTTCCATCCACAAGAAGTGACTCAGCAGAGCTTCATCGAGTCAAAGACAGTGCATGTAAAGCGGTTAGCAGGGCCCGGCAGAGCTTCAAACCATCTAAGAAAGACTTTGTGCAGGTTGAGCAGATACGGACACATTCCGGCAGGCATCGCATGATAAACGACTTGAAGCAGGCCGAGGTCCCCCAAGAAATTGCCATGAAATTTGCACGCATAAGTGATGTTCGCACATTTATAGGCTACGGTGAGCTCACAGATGAACAGGCTGGAAAAAACTTGCAGGACAACAAAACACTTCAGAAGCGACTTGTCGCCGTGTATAGCAACAAGCGCAAGAGCAGCGTGAAAACACCCAAGTCGAAGAAGAAGTAACGTGAGCTGCACGAGTGGCTGCTGCCCGCTCCTACTACAAACCTATCATGATCCGGGCGTATCTGTATATAAGAATTCACCTGTGTACTGGGGCGCAGACACCACGCAGCGGCTGCTTGTTGCACTCTATCCAGAATGCGAAACCTGTTCCAGTGCTTGGAACGATGCTCTCACAATACTCTCCAGACTGCGAAATGTCATCTTCCAGTGCTTTAAACCAGCCGGTCACGTTTCAAATCAGAGCTGCATAGAAAAAGACTGTCGACGTCGTACTTACCAGCCTTCGCAATCTGGATAGTGTGCATCAAGCTGCCTCAGGCTTCCGTGGACCCTTTTGGCTGGAGGAGAGCTTGGATCTCAGAGATGTGTGACATGCCGCAGTGTTCTGTTTTCAGGGGCATGATGCCACACTCGCAGAAGTCTTTTTTGCAAATGCCCCAGTGCTTCAGCTTCTTCCACTCTCACAGTGGCAGCAAAGCTGTGATAACACAGCTTTGACAGAAAGAACAACCCCTCGGGCCGTAGGGGCAGCCACGAAGACATGTGCAAGGTTTCGGACAACATGCACGTAGGTATGTTATCTGTTTCTTATCAGTCTCCACATGCGTTCGTACTATGCTGCCTGACCCCACCCCAAACCGAAAAGCGCACTGAACACAAGTATTCAGCGTCCGCAAACGCCGTCTCTGGACATGGGAACGTTGACTTTCGCAAAGAAATCGAGAAACTTGGCCATCGTGAAAGCATTTGACATGCTCCTGTACACAGGGTCACGGGTCTTCTCATCGTCCGACACCACTGCCATGCAATAGAACTGGGACTGTGAACGCGCCCTGTTCTGCACAGATTCCAGGAACTTCTCTTCCGTTAGAAGTTTCCATTTGGAGGATGGCTCGCATGCTATGTTGCTCACCGCCGCGAAATTTTGAGGTCGGGTTCTCTGCAGGCCGGAGCTCAAACATATCCTGCGAACAGAGTTTGTGGCCTGGAAGAAGCTGAGGGCGATCCCCTTGTGACCACCAGACACAATGAAGTCGGCGTTGCAAACACACTTGCCACGAAGGATGCCGTGAATCCATGCCGGGTCAGGCATGATCTTCATGCTTTGGACAATGTAGTACTCTGCAGCCATGAGCTCTGAGACTTGCATCCGCTGAGCTTGGATGGCTGCCACCACATCCTGCAAGTTAGAGGCATCTGCAGCAAAGTCCACGAACACCGAGGCCTGGAGCAGCTGGTGCTGTCGGCGAGCCGTGTTCTCTTTGATCTTTCGCATCTTGTTCTGGTGCTCCCGATCGAGTTTTGCGAAATTGAGCTCTTTGCGTTCCAAGTCTGCTCGAAGCTGCTCGTCTACCTCATTGTGGAGAAGATGCCCTGCCTGCAAAGCTTGGAGCTTGTTTGCGTGTTCCACTCCGTGCAGCACGTCAATCTCCTCCTCGTGAGCGTCCAACCAAAGCTCTTTGCCCGCCTCGGCAGCCGCGTCAATCACAGCCTTTGCATCGCGCCGGCGACGCTTCTTGGCCAGTGCCTTCACTTGCTGCTGCAGGTTTCTTTTCCACCCGGCCTCACTGCCCTGCTTAAGTGTTGGTGCCTTGCGAAGTGGCTTGCCACCGGCCCGTGTGCCGGCATACCTCGACATCCAGATGCGAGCAGCTGCCTTTGCCACTACTGTTGTGGCCTCCCTGCAGCCGAGGCGAAGCTGGTCATTGCGCATAGCAGCACACATGAGCGACCGTTCTTTCCCAATCGTCCTCTCCATGACTGAGAAATTCTGCTCCACACCGGAAGTTGAAGCTCCGTGGAAAGCAAGGTAGCGAGCCAAAACAATGTCCAGTGCCTGCAAGTTGTGCTTGTCACGGAGCCGCCGGTCGTCGAATTTCTTCCGTGTCTCAACCCAAGCATCCATGTTGCAACCAACACGGCCGGAAGTCAACAAATGCTGAGCATTGAAGTAACAACGATCGAACTGTTTCTTCAGGTCTTCCGGGTCACATAAAAATGACTGAGCCAGCCTCCTCAGCGCTTCTTGTCTCACTTCCAGAACTGCCGGGTCAGCCCGGCCGTCAGGACGCACTGCACGACGTGAAACATCGAAGCATTGGAAAGCTTGCATGACTTGGTAGTGCGGGAACTCCGATTGCAGCCGGCTCGTAGCCAGCTTGACCCAGTTCGCCATTCGCTGCATCACCCGCTGCTTGACGTCCTCACTGATTGATCCGCGGCCACCGAGGATCTTCACACCCCCGCCTGGCTTACGGAAGACAAACTCTTTCTCAAGGGTTTTCACCATGAACTCCGTGTGGCCGTAGTACCATGCATCTTCGTGCACGAAAAGAACATCGATGTTGTGGACGAAGCTGCTCAGGGCTTCAACCATGAGCGCGGGGTCGTAGCTCTCCTGGAAAACATGGGCTGTAACTCAGAGCAAACAAAGTCCCAAGAAACTAACATACGGAACTAAAGCCAAGTCCAAGTCAGGAATCTCCGTCGTAGAATCTCACGAGCTCCATGCTCTGGAGCCCCGCGTCCGCCAGTAGTGCTAACTGAAGCAGACTCTCTACGTCGGCACCTTCTACAAATGCTTGTGCTTTTCGCGCCGGCTCTGTACCTGCTCGCCTTACCATGATATCCAAGGCCGTTCTCCAGATGGATTCAAACACCAATACAAACCGACAAAGTGGTTTGCATTTGGACTCGAAACGGTGAGGTGCATAATCTAAGCATCTCATTCGATTCAGGGTCTGCTGTGACAGAGGCGTGCCAGAGTCCACACTGCATGTATTCTCTGAGAATACATGTCGTAGATCCGGGGAGTGCTGTATCACGTGAGTCATTGACTCAGCTCCGCCGATGTAGAAGAGGAAGGTTTGGCTCAGATATGGATCCACTGCCCAAGGATTCGCTGACAAACGCCTTGCGCAATGCGTCGGGTCCCGCACGCGAATGCGGATGTTCGGAAACATGGTTGACCGCACTGCTCCGGCCCTTCCACTGAGCAGGTTCAGCGTTCGCTGTTCATCTGAGGCCCCATCTGCATCGATCATTTCGACTTTTTCTGAAATCCTGGCCATCAGCCTCAGGTCGCCTCCGCAGAAACGCGATAGAATTCTCACAGTCGCTTCCTGAAGATCCTCGGATTTTGTACCTGGCGTGCAGTCCAAACCCAAGAGCCCTCTGAGGCAAGACCAATCAGCCAAAGTGGCTGAGAAACGTATCTGCAGGACACCCGCCCGCACGTCCTGATGAATGGCTATGACACGAGCCGTTGTCAGGGCATCTCTGTCCGCCTCAAGACATGCATTGCCAATGCAGCTGTGCAGCCGCTCAACTTTATGACGCCCACCGAAAGCCCCAGTATCCGCTACTGCACGGCAGCTTGAACCCGTCTTGAATTTCCGCCACACATCCATGATCATCGCCACATCAGGGGCACGGTGAAGCCCGGACTCGTCCTCCTCCTGAGCACCATCATTCGTCAGAAGCTTGCTGACTGCACGTAAATGCTTCGAGCATTGTCCGTGCTTTACAACATGGGCCTTTTTCAAATCTGCAATCTTCAAGATAGGCTTGCCGCGCACCCATTCCGACGTGATGTCTGCTTGCGCCCAACCACGGCAGGCCACACATGTCAGAACAAAAGATGTCGAAGACACCCGCTGGCCCATCAACCACGACCCAAGGCCTGGCTGATCTTTGTCAAGCAGGAAAGCTTGCTCCCAGCTCTCCTGCCGCTTCCTGAATGCAGCTTCCACCTCATCTGCTTCCTCTTTGCTTGTGCAAACCTTCGTCGTCTTGCGGCATGGCTTCACCTGCGCCCCAGTCTGAGTCTGTTTCTGGTCCACGCACAGTAAGTCGTCCTCGTCCATGGCAAAGACGCAGAATTGTCAAGTTCCCGATGTCTTTCACTTGATTTACATTACATGTTGTTTGCCAGGAGTTTCAGATACTTGCCATGTGCCTGCTAAGGTAGGTTGTAAATGGAATCAATGGAATGCTGCACACATCATTCACACGAGGCTCAGTGCTGACCAAGAGCAACAGCAGAAAAAACAATGCGGTAACCCCTGCCAGATTTGTTCACGAAGCAACCAGGGCAAGGACTGGGGCAATGGCCTCGGCAACAGCCCGTATCATCGACCATGCCTGGGCAAAAAGGTGTATCATATTTGACTGTTAAACTTGCCAGCACTCTCTCAGTGCCGATGCCTTTCTCCCGATGCTCGTCTGCTCTTAAAACTTACTTGCAAGGAATCACTGGGCCAACCACCGGCATCATAATCCAGGCCTGAGGCAGGCATGCAGTAGCCATATCCTCATATCTGCACCATACTGCCCAATCAAAACGTAAGAAAAACTGAGGCATCCAGTACAGCCTCCATTGGCCAGGCCTGGGCCTGGGTGAGTCGTTTCAAAACAAAAGGCCGCTCAATCTGTGCCTTGCTTCACGCACACTGGCTCTCATTTCGACTCTGTGACACCCCCGGCTGCGCGGAGACACCGCCAACGGCCCAGCTTCGAAATAAAAACGCCGGGGGACGCCCCCTGCTGTTTGGAAGCACAAGGACCGGGACACTCTTGTAGCCCAGTGGGTCCCTGTTTATATAGCTAGTCTGTTTTACCCCCCCTACAAAAACAAGTGGGGACGTACCCTCCTGCACGGGGAGCAGGTGTAAACTTGATGATTTGTAAGCACCCACATACCTAAGTCTTCCATGCCATGCAATGCTCCTGGTATGGTGGCTACACTGTAGCAAAGTACGGCTCAACAAACGTCATGTTTACACCCACTACAAAAACAGGAGGGGACGTACCCTCCTGCACGGGGAGCAGGTGTAAATCAGAGGGGCCATAAGAACAGGTACCCACTGGGCCATAAGGGTGTCATGCACTCACGCCAGCACCCTCGGGCAGGTAGCCAAGAATCTCGTCAGGATTGCCTCAACAACCTGGTCATTGCTGTTTCCAGTTTGAAGCTTAATTCACACGTTAGTAAGACTAAGCTATCGTGCTGCCGGCAAAACAATCAGGGCAGGCCAAAAGAAAGTACAAAGCAGTCAAAGAAACCTTGAAATACTGCCAACAAGAAGCTGGAATTGACATGGCGTTTCCACACATGTGCCCCAGCTGGGCATCGGAGACTCCAGTCGTGTTGAACTGATCCACATCGCAGCCCTGAGCCCTGCAGAGCTCCTTAACGCTCAGTCGCCGATTGAGACGCAGGTCGTAGTAGGCACGTGCGGAGCACCTCGTAGCCGTGAGTGTTGGCAAGCAGTCAATGAAGTAGTGCTTGCCTTCCCGGCCACTCTGAATATCCACCACGCCATGACGCTCAAAAAGGTTGCCACCATGCTTCTGCTTGTAGTCCTGCACGGCATCGGCGATGTTCTTCACAGCACGCTCACTCAACTCGCTTGGAAGGGTTTTCAGACTTGCGATTGTGGCCGGCAATGGCTGCTTCAAGATGCTGCTCAGGGGCGGCGTTCCGGTACCTTCGGGCATTTGGAAGCCACCGTCTATGGATTTTTCCACACCCACGATGTAGAGCCGCTCCCTCGCCTGCGGCAGTCCGAAATCAGCACTGCTGAGAATCGCTTCGTGGATGTTGTACCGCTGCCCATCCCTGCCAACAAGGCCTTTCAAGATGTCCATGACTTTCTTGTAAGTCGATCCATTAGCTGATTTCCATGCAGGCACCTGTTCCAGAAACCAGAATCGGGGCGGCCTCTTGCACATGTACTTCAGGATGCCGTACATGACGTCAGACCGGGAATCCTTGGCTCCCTGCTGGGAGCCCTCTCGGCTCCATGGCTGGCATGGAGCCCCTGCCGAAAAAATATCAACAGCATCTGCAGACATATGAAAATCGTCACCCATAGCGTCCTGGAAAAACGTCTTGGCCTTGAAATTCTTCTGCAGGAATGTCATGCAGGACTTGTTGTTGTCACACTGAAAAGAGAGCACAAACTTCATCTTCATGTTAACCAGAGCTTGAGTGTCACTGCCCCAGCCAGAGCAAACACTGCCAACAGTGAGCACCTTCGAAGCCACACGAGGCTTCTTAGGAGCCCGCTCGTCAGAAGGACAAGAGGCCAGTGCTGACATCATGGACGGGCGCTTCGTATCAACGGCCGCTGCTGACTTCGACGACGAGCGTGGGGGCATGGAGACTGAACTTGAGGGCCTCTTCATCTCTTTGGCCTTAGCCTTCGCCGGAGCCTTCGCTTTAGCCCTGCCCGCAGCGGCAGAGCCGGGAGCGAGGAGGAACTCTGGCCCGTCAAAATCGTCCATGTTGCCAAGTGGGCCCGGGTAGCCTCAAGTGAAAATTGAGCACAATGCTTCCAGCATCGTTGGCCAAGGGTACTTCCAAGAACACACGATAGCAAAATGCTCGGCAGACAGCAATTCAGCAAGATTGTGGAGTCACTTTGTACAGCGTCGTTCCAATCAGAGGCGGCTCACAAGTCTACCGCCGTCTTGCAATCAGTAATCAGAGGCGTCTTACAAGTCTTTGGCGCATGAGGCTCTGTCCAAAGAGGTCCAAGCATCAAACAAGACTGCGCATGCCCTAAATGACTGACAAAATGAATCCATGCTGCCAGCAACTATCCAGGACCGAATGAACATCAAAATGGCCCCGCCAAATCACTACCGCTCTACTGGGACTGGTTTCGCAAGGCCGCTATCTTGGCCAAAATTGCATCTGAGCCCTCAGTCTCGTCAACCACGGCTGACGTGTCGGTGTCATTCTTGTCAGCATTTGAGCCCTCTTCACCCGTAGCTGCGTTGCCTCTGCCACGTCCACCGCCTCTGCCACGGCCACGGCCACGGGTGGCAGACGAGGTGCCGCTAGGAATCCTGGTTCATTGTTGAGATAAGTTTAAACATGATCATACTTATTCCTTATTCTTTGGCTTAAGTGCACATAATACTGTAACATGTTACCCAACGATGACCGAGATTCACTTCAGCAGCCCTCGCAGCAATGACTTCGGCGAAGCCAGCATCGAAGAACTGATTCCCTTCCTGACGCATCCCACGCATTACGATGTGGGCCAAACGCTCGTAGAGCTTCTCTTTGTGTGCGTCAGTGAAGCACACACCCACGTAGCTCACTTTGGACTCCAGGCATGCTTGGGCGCATTGGCCGTCCCCTGCGGTCCAATCGAGCAGCACAGTAGTGCGAAGGTCCACATCCAGGAGCTCTTTGAAAAGCATAACCGGCATCGAGTGGAAGCAGAACGGCTCCAAGCCGTGCTCCTCTCTCTTGCCCGCAGATGCTGGATCATGTCCGGCTGTTGCGCCTCCAACAGCAGTCCTCGCGCTGCCGTAGAGAGCCTGATCAGCTAGCTTTTGAACCCCTCACGGCTATGTTATAATTACTACCATTGTCCGGCCTTTTTCTCTGCGAATGTCAATTGCCAGAGCTCCGAATCCGGTGGTAGCACCACGCCGCTGATGACATTGCCGGCTGATGTGCCCGCGTAGTGGGCTCGATTCCTTCGCTTCTTGAGGCCTTGAAGCTGGCTGGCGACGCCGTGCACCTCAGTGATCAATTTCCACAATATTGAATCGGAAGGCGAACTACGGAGTGAGTGCTCCGTTGCTTTCTGATAAGTCCGATGTTTTCCAAGGAACGATGTAGATCGTCTCCAGCTGCTGAAGCTGGGCTGAGGCACGGTGCTTCTCCATTCGCTGGGCTACGCTGTTCTCGTCATAGGCCAGGTGGATGGTTCGTGAAGCTTTGGGCATGCCAGGGCATGTCACTCCATCGCCAGCCATAGTGAAGCTGTTGAGAATGTGGTTGCCCTGGCCCATCTTGCCTCCGTCGAAGATAGTGAAGACGCAGTTGTCGGGAATGTCGACTGCGTTGAGGGCACGAACAGTTCGCTGCACGACCTTTTTCAAGGCATTCTTCTCGAAGGCAGCCACCCGTAAGTGCGGCGCGGTCACTGGCTCGCCTGAATTTTTCACATCGAACACCACCTGCAGCACATCGCTGCTTTGCACTTTACCAACGGCGCTCTCAGCCAAAAGATCATTCATCGTCTCTGCACGCTCACAGTCCACAATGAGCTTGACGTACTGGCGCACCCTTTGCCGCGCGGCACCCAAAGCCTCCTTAAGCCTCACGAGGCTTTCATCCGACAGGCTTCGCACGTGTGCCTCCATCTTGTTATTGCTTGGGTCAGCAGCTTGCAGAGCTGAAAGCAAAGAAGGATCCACACCGGACCCTGTTGCTGCAGTTTCCTCGACCTGGTCTGGCTTGGAATCCAACTGCACCAAGGCGGCCCGATACGCCTTGACATCCTCGGCAAGCTCCTCGCGGTCCAGCCAATCTGCGGGGCCAGCACCAGCATACAGCATCTTCTTGACTTTGGCATCCAAGCCGGTGTTGTAGACCAATTTCTGCGGCGAGTCACATTGAAAACTTACATTGCTATTTAAGAAGTGGAGCAAAGCTGAACACCCCTGCCTGAAGTAAGTTGCATGCTTGGATGGCTGCTTCGCTCAAGCACCCGATCCATGAAAGGTCGTGCTGCTCTGTGTGCCCGATCTCGCCGTACGCCGCTCTGTATGATGGAAAGTCTCGAAAGACCGACCTCAGCTTCTGCTTGTGGGCGGTGTCCATGCTGGTGCTTTCCATGTGATCGAGGATATACACACTGAGGCCGTACTTCATCAGGAGGACATCCACGGTTCCTTTATTCCCTGAGCAGCCCTTACCCGACCAATTGCGGACGGACAGCTGCGTCCACTGCAGCTGCGGAGGATCTGACTGCAGAAAGTCGTGAACCGCACCGATGCACCATACCATTCTGTCCAACGCACTCCGGGTGTCCGCTCGACCCACCTGCTTGAAGCATTTCTGGGCGAGGTCGTCCAGCTTGTAGACGCTATCCCACGGGGACTGCTTGCCCCATGTTTCCTGACCAGATCAGCAACATCAACCTCGTAGAATGCGTTAGGATGGCATGCGCATCATATGACATGTCTCACTCATGGACCTGCCTCTGCCCAAAGCACCAGCGCCTGGATCCGATCATGCTTTAGCACCCTGTCGTACACAGACAGGCACTTCTCCACGAAGTGATGGAAGGTCTTCTGATCCTTAACCTCATCTTTTTCCCGCCTGAGATCCAAGACGTGGGTTCACAGTTAACCCAGCCGCACCCTCATGCTGCGCTCCGTCTACGTCTCTGTCTCCTGAAGCAATCTCATGTTCGGCCAAGACTCTCAGTACTGAACTCCACGTGAAGCTGCCACTTTTCAGCCACCTGCTTCTGCGTCATCTTCACAGGCTGGGAATCGCGATAGAGTGCCAGCTCGTAGATCCTTTGGACGGCTGACCTGTAGAGAAGGTCTCTGTCTGTACCTTTCTGTTCACGAATGCTGATGCCGCGGAAGTAAAACTTCTCAGCATTCGGCACCAGCTCAAAGGTGACGGGGGCTGTGAGCAAGACAGATCTCCAACCCTGGAGTTCCGAGGAATTCGCTCCTTCTCGGAGCCGGCTTCCAATCTTCAACAGCAGAGCCTGCGCATACTCCTCTGGGCTCAGCAATCGCAGATTGGACGGAGTCTTCCCGGCCACCAGGGCCTCCAGCTGGTGGGGGAGTAGGCCCACCACGACCTTTCCCGCCTGAACACTTCCCTTGTCGTAGCTGGGGAAGTACTTTCTTTGCGCATCTGCCACTTGGCTCTCAATGATTGGTACGTTGGGCGTTATGCTGGTCAAGAAGTCCAACCATGTGAAGTTGATGCCGCACTGATAGCTGCCGCGGGATTGCAGAGCAGTGCCAAGCTGAGCAGCATCGTACGGGGCCTGCAGCGGACACAAATGCAGGATTGAAAACACGTGTCGTGCATAGCACCTGGACCATTCTAATTCAGATGGGGCACGATGGTTCCAGACATCGATCCCACAGCAGCGTCGATGCCCAGCGGGTCGGCATCACCCACATCACACAGAATGCTGTTGTCTCGCATGAGCTGCAAAGCTTCTTGCACCTTGCTCAAATGACTGCTGTTAATCGAAGACGGCACAGCGGCCGCTGCAGCAGCTGCTGGATCAGCACCACCATCGGCCGGCTGCGCAGCTGCCGCAGCTTTGGCCTTAGCCTTGGCCTTGCCCTTAGTCTTCGGAGGCATGTCGCCACTCGCACCGGCAATCAGCAATTGTTCAACGATCCGGGCCGGAAAATCTGCGACCGCGGTTCAGATTGTCAACAGTAATTCTTTCACACGACAACAACGCAACGTCTCCAGCCAGCGCTCTCAGGCATGAGGCCCAGGCTGCTTCTGCACACCACAGACCTGGGCAAGGCAGATCGACAGCTTCCTACTGCCATGATGTTGTTAACGCGTTTTCCCCGGCAGTCCGCCTTCTCCCGGGGAAGGCGGACTCCCACGCCAAAACCTGAGAAACAGCAACGCTTGGCGACAACAGAACAGACACAGAAAACCGAGAAAGCAGAACACTTTGCGAACACAGAACAGACACGGCCCCTTCCTTAAAGAAACCCTAATCAGAAACGCTTGCTGCAGCGCTGGAGAAAGTGCTGACTCAGGCGCTGGTGAAAGTGCCGTTTTCATGAGCCATGATCATGATGGGCCCCACACTTAAACAGCAAAGCAAACCTCGCTGCAGCGCTGGGGAAAGTGCTGACTCAGGCGCTGGCGATAGTGCCAGTCAGAAGTCGAAAGTCTCAAGTGAAGTGTACCTGCCGTCACAGGTTCTGTCTGTGCTTCAATGCAGCTACCTCAGAAATGCGTTGGCATGGGCAGCATCCAGTTGAGGTTTGCACATGTGACACTTTCACCAGCGTCATGCATGGACATGTGCAGACACTTTCACCAGCGTCATGCATGGTCAGATTTCTGCTGCCCTGACACTTTCACCAGCGTCAGTCGCTGTTGACTGTCACATTGACATCAGACCATGTCTGCAAGGTCCGGACTCAAAGAGCCTGCTGGTCACGCCTCCTGGCAGTCGCTGGAGGCAGCGGCACCTGCAGCTGTTGAACTGTCGGCTGATTTAATGACATGGCTTTGGCGTGTTGTGGTTTGCAGGAAATACATGACCCCGCTCATGTGGCTCCACGAACATCAACAACAGACTTGCATGGGGCTGACTGACAGCTAAGATGTGCATGAAGATGAGGGAGGGCTTTAGTTTCATCCGACATTATCCCACTGACTGGGTTATATTTAATCCAGACCAAGAGCTTTCAATGTTGACATCATCAGAAGCCTGATCACTAATTAGACTGCAATAACCTCTGTCACCCCTGCATGTCACCCCTCAGCTCCAGACAGACAGGTGCTGAGTACCAACCATGTGACTGTGCCTTTAAACACATACAGCTATAATGTCATGTATAGAATTCCCAAGTATTTTGTGGCAGGTTATGTACAAAGACCTCCGCAATAGTGCCATGAGGATACCAAATAAGCCATGTGTCGATCTCAGCAATAATTAAGTCGCAATATAGGGTAGGGTAGCAGAATTTTTTTCTCTGAGCCTTCGGCATGGCACCACGATATCCGGACAAGACAGAGGACCCTAGTGCCAGCGCAACGTGATTATCAGTTCAGAATGATTGAGAGACACTTGTCAATTGTCAGGACCGAAAGCAACGGGAAGGAGCTGCAGGTGCACATTTGGCAGCTCAGGAGCCCGTGGGGAGAGAGAGAGAGAGAGAGAGAGAGAGAGAGAGAGAGAGAGAGAGAGAGAGACACACACACACACACTCACTTGTCAGGACCCAGGTCGATGGGAAAGAGCTGGAGGTGCAGATATCGCAGCTCAGGAGCCTGTGCGGCGTACAAGCCACTTGCAGAATGAGTGAAAGACAATTGTCAGGACACAAGTCAATGGGAAGGAGCTGGATGTGCAGGTATGGCAGATCAGGAGCCTCTGGGGCATACATACCACTTTCAGAATGAGTGAGAGACACTTGTCAGGACCGAAGACAATGGCAAGGAGCTGGTGGTGCAGCTCAGGAGCCTCTGGGGTGTACAAACAGTCAAGTCGACTTCGGATAGTCCTGCCATGACCAACTATAACTTTCACTTGTCAGGATGATAGTGGGCGGCACTGGGCATCGTCATGGACAGAGGCAGGTCTGTTTTGAATTGAAGTTGGCTTGGCTTTTGCTGCCAGTGCACAGGAGTCTGCACGACGAGGAGCCTCCGCCAAGTGGCCTCCGCCGCCACCGCCGCCACAGTTGCCGATCCCACCTCCGCCGAGCGGCCCTCCCCCACCACCGGGACCACCCCCGCCGGGGCCTCCCCCGCCAGGGCCACCCCCGCCACCTTCGGAAGCCGGTGACCAGGCCAGGTCTGTTCAGCAAGCCAGGTAAACCTTAAGCTTCTTTGACATCAAAACAATCCGCTGCCAGGACCAGAAGCAGGAAGCAGATGAGGAAGAGGAAGTGGAAGTGGAAGAGGAGGCACGGGTCACTCTACTAAGTAACTGAGCGCTGGTGAAAGTGCTCCAGTCAGGCCAAGTGTAGGAACTGAGTGCTGCTGAAAGTGCTCAAAGGGTCCAGGTCTAGTCTGAGAACTGAGCGCTGGTGAAAGTGCTTAGTACCTCCACTCACAGACTGTTGTCAACAGATTGTCTTGCAGGTGCCAAGGATGGCTTCTTCATCGTGGCAGAGGATGCCCACGACGATAGGATCGTGGCAAAGAAAGCCGTCGCAAGGTACCTTGAAAAACCAGAAGCAGCAAAAGCAAAAGCAACAGCAGCAGCCGCAGAAGAACGAGAAGAAGGGTTCACACGTGCAGGATGCCGCACAGTACCGCCGGGACCTGTCCCGTGCGGAAAAGAAGATATCCAGTCTTCAGCAAGAGAACACAAGGCTTCAGTGTGAGCTGCACAAGATTGACACCGAACGCACGTATGGACAGTTGCTGCAGCAGAATAGTCAAGCGAGCGTGAAGGCTGCAGCAGAAAAGGCCAGGATGTGTTCCGTTGCTAAAAGTTGTCATGTTGCTTGGTTCTTAGTCTTAGTCTTGCCAGGCTCAGCAAGAGGAGGAGCTCAGAGCCGAGGGTGCACGGGCGGAGCAGGAGCTCAGAGCCCAGGCTCTGGAGACCTCCAAGAAGCTCCAGGACAGGCCATGCTGATGGCATCATGTTGTTGTAACTGTGAAATCCGTTGTTTCGTTCCAGGAGCAGCAGGCCACGCGCATCAAGGAGCTGGAGATCTCGCTGAAGGATGTCCGGGCCGAGAAGGCCTGCCAGGCAGACATCTACCTTGAAATTTCTGCTTTGTTCTGTTCTCCATGAGGACAGATACATGTCCATGAACCAGTCCATGAGCAGCCACCTCGAGACGTCGAAGGCCGGTGCACTTCATTCCGAACTTAAGGCCACTGTGCATCAGACCTCTGCAAGGCCGAGATCAACAAGCTGTCGAGTCTCTTGAAGGATGCCCAGCTCAAAGAGACGAGGAGATCCGAGGAGTTGAGGCAAGCCGTGGACGCCGTGGAAAGAGGAAAGGCCTACAAGGCCGGACAATCATGATCTTATGTTTAAGCTTCACCCTAAATCCTAAATCGTGTCAGGTCAAGACGGATCAGCGAATCTCCGAGATGGAGACGCTGATCCACGACACCATGGCCGAGAAGGCCAGGAAGGCATCATCTTGTTCCCAACATAGCTTTATGTTCTGTGTCAGGACAAGTACAAAAAGCTCGCCAGCGAGATGGGCCAGGAGATGGACAAGCAACGGGCCTCTTTGCTGCACATTTCGAAGCCATCCTCAAATCGAAGCAATCCTCTCTTCTGTGCCCCACCAGGCCTTGGACGCCAAAGAGGCAAAGATCCAGAAAGCCAAGGAGGCGCAGGACAAAAAGGAGGCCCAGGCGGCCAAGAAGGAGGCAAAGGCCCAGGAGAAAAAGGATGCCCAGGTAGGCAAGAAGGCGGCCCAGGAGAAGAAAAAGGACAAGAAGGAGGGTCAAGCGAAGGAGGAGGCCAAAAAGGCTGAAAAGGCCAAGCCTCTGGATGAGGCTCGTTTCCAGTAGCCTGTTCGTGAGTGCCCTGTTCTAGCTGCAGAACAACAAACGCTCAGGCCCCAATGGCGAAGAGGCAGAAGGTGGCGGGGGTGGTCCCAGAGGGGGAGGCAAGTATTTCAGTCTGAGCCAGCACGTAAATCAGATAATCAAGAAGCATGCTACCTCCCAAATCAGGTGAAAGATGCCGAGAAGGCAAAGACAAAGAAGGACGATGGTGAGGTGAGTGCGCTGTTTCGGGAGTAATGTCAATCAATAAACAAGCCATGATGTTTTGCCCAGGCGAGCACCGCTTCGAGATCGGCAAAGGAGGACTCGCTGGATCGGACACTTGAGGAGCTCTCATTGCTCACTTGATCAGGAGGCCGCTGAAAAGAAGGTTACAAAAGATGAGGCCCCCCAACCCTGAGCCCAGTGTTTCGGATGAATGTGCACGATGGCATTTGGCAGGAGCCCCTGCCGATGCCGAGGTGATGCTGAGGCCAGCAGGACTCAGATTCAGATTCAGAGAGCAATATTAGTTCAACTCCCCTGTATCAGGAGACAAGCTCAAGTGATGCAGATCTGACGAAGCAAGGCAGGAATCAGACCCCTTTTTCTGTGTAGAATACCATTTATCCCCTGTGCCAGGTGACGGTGGCTGTGGCTGACAGATCAGATGCAATGCATGCGCCGGCCAAAACAACTCTGAGTCTGCAAGCAGCAAACTTGAGCAGCGATGAGTTTGGATTGCAACAGAGTGTTTTCTGCAAATGATGGTGGCAGGCTGCTTCGGAAGACGATGACCGCAGGGATCTCAGGAGTTACAGAAACAGCTCGAGAGTTCAAGACGCTGGCGAAAGTGTCCCACTATATTGTGTCGTGAAGGGCGCTGGAGAAAGTGTCCGTTCATGGCAATGATAATACAACTTAGCTCGTGTGAAATCATGTCAGAGCTGTATGTTTGAAACTTCGAACTTTCAATAACAGAGCTAGCTGCTAGCAGCAGTAGGGGTTCAATAACATAATTAGAATGCTCATACTCTCAGACCACATTTGCATGTCGACTCCAAGGCTGGCACCTCGTGGTCCACGAGGTGGGCAAGCAGGTCCTGCGAGGAGGACTGTTAAGCAGGATTTGTAGTTTGGATGTTGGCTTGAGTTTCTTCGGTGGCTAATCATAGAAGATCGGAACTATGTGGTGCGTAGACATCCAGTGGTGGTGCTGCAGGCAAAGATTTAGCAATTGAGTTTGAGGCTCAGGCTCCTATCATCTCGGATCCTCAAGGGCCTCTATGGTATAGAAGGGGGTCGTATTATGATTCAAGAGATTTCGTCCTCGATTCTTTGCTCCAGTTTTAGCTCGCCCTGCTTCAACTTGAAAGCTCGACCTGAAAATAAAAGCCGTTGGGTTAAAGACCGAATTGCATCCCATCCCCAACCCTTGGAGCTTGTAGGAGAGTGGAGAAGTGGCAGGAGATGCGGAGGGAGACGGGGCAGGTGGAGCATAGGAGGGAGAGGAGGGAGGAGTGGGGAGGAGAGGGCGGGTAGGGCATGAGGTGGGATAGAAGGGCAGGGAGAGGAGGGGGTTGGCGGGGGGGCGGCAGGAGGATGGGTAGGCTGTGTGGGGAAGGAGTGGGGAGGGGAGGGAGGTCAGGTAGGGTATGAGGTGGGATAGAAGGGCATCCAGCATGTGGCACAGTGTGAACTGGGAGAGATTTGGGGGAATGAGAGCAGGTCAGGACCGAATCTCACAGTCAGCAGCACACAATTTGGCACTCTCACCAGCACCTTTGAATGCACTTTCTTCAGCGCACACATGTGTCGTCGTCAGGCACTATCACCAGCGCCATGATGCACTTTCTCCAGCGCATGTCGTCGTCAGCGTCATCGTCCTGCACTGTCACCAGCGATCGTCGTGCACTGTCACCAGCGCTGACAAAAGCCCTGCCAGTGATGATGTCGTTCACCGCGAGGTCGAAACCTGAGTGCCTGCAGGGCCCTGACCAGGAATGCGGGGGGAAGGTCTTAAGGTCTTAAGGTTGAGCAACTAGGGAATCTAGGGCATCTTAGGGATTTAGGGTGGGTCTTAAGGTTCAGGGTCTAGGGCATAAGGTCTTATACCCAAATCAAACCTCTCAGGGATTTAGGGTGGGTCTTAAGGTTCAAGGTCTAGGGCATAAGGTCTTATGTGCAAATCAAACCTCTTAGGGATTTAGGGTGGATCTTAAGGTTCAGGGTCTAGGGCATAAGGTCTTATACCCAAATCAAACTTCTTAGGGATTTAGGGTGGGTCTTAAGGTTCAAGGTCTAGGGCATAAGGTCTTATACCTAAGTCAAGCCTTTTGGGTCTGGGTTCCAAAGCTTTAGGGTCACTTAACGCCAAAGCTAGGGTGGATGCAGGACTTATTAATAATGCCGATATAAGATATCTCAAAATGTTAGCTATCTCGTTTGTTCGATAGTTTGCTTTTTTTTGCATATTTTCGCAGCGAGGGAGCAGGCAGTGTTGTCATTGTCCAAGTACATCAAAGGAGCCAAAAACAGACAACACAAAAACGAAAAGAACGCCAGACAAAACGAAAATTGGGACTAGCAATTACCACAAGTCCTTTGCTCCAGCCTGAAAGCGGTGCATAATTGCATAATTTCTACAGAGAAAGTCATGTGCTCCAGTGCAAAGGTTGCTCGAAAATATTGCTTCTTAACTTCTTAATGTTGGGTGCTTTTTGTTTTTTCTCCTCCTTCCCACGGGCGAAGTATTTAATTTGAGCCACAGCTATAAAAAAAAGGCCCTGGCCACCCGCACTGTCTAGTAGGGTTTAGGGATTCGAGAGTGTAGGGTTTAGGGGCTTTTTTTTGCTGACGGACGAGTCGCTTGAGCCACAAAAGACCCCCCAGCCACCATACCCGACAAACCCAAGCCACCAGCTCAATGCTTCAAACACCCCCCACAACCCCCAGACACACAAACCAAAAACAACAAAAGACACAAAGACCCAGTCTATGGCCCAGCAAGCTTAGCGCGCCGCTGACTCTATGCTGTAGGTCGTTTGGAGCTTCATCCAAGTTTTGCTACGACTGCGCGGACTCAACCTTTTGACAAGAACAGTAGAATCAGTAGGAAAAGCTCCTGCAGTAAATCTTGCTCCCCTGTGAGCCACATGCTGGCACAGCTCATTCTGAACCCTGTGCCCCGAGCCCTTCCTCAAATCTGAGTCCCGAAGCTGATCCCGAACGTTTCCTTCACTGCCCTCGAACCCAAAAAATAGTGTGTGGGCACACGTACAATGACGTACAAATATGTGTGTGTTGATTAGATAATAGCAACGCTCCTATTTTCCTTGAGCCAAAAGCAAGGTCAGTTGCATCTTACCATTTAGGAAGATACGTGTCCGGAATCACCCCTCCTGGGCGGAGGCGATTCCGCTGACGTCCACTTTAGGACACTGTACACTATACAACTGCTTTCGCTAAACCGCTTCTACCAGAGACCACTTCGAAGCCCATGCGTTTCAGGTGCTGCTCAGCATTTTCCACGGCTAGCGACTTAGTAAGCAGGTCAGCCGTGTTCAGCTTGGTGTCGATCTTGAACAGCTCGAACTGCTTGTTTGCGAGCTTCTCTTGGATCCACAGGTAACGTGTCTGCACGTGTCGGGATTTACCCAACCCGAGTCTGTTGCAGGTACCCAGTGCAGCAGCGCTGTCAGTGTGAACCTGCAGCTTCACGTCCAAGCCCCATCCACGCAGTAGCTCTTGAGTAGCCATCCCACTGGCCACTCCCTTCACCAGAGCGTAGTACTCGGCTTCTCCCGAGGATAGTGACACCGTGCTTTGAAGGTTGCTCGAGTGCCTCACCTCGTGCTTGCCGTAGTAGCACACGAGTCCGGTGGTGCTTTTGCGCGTCTGAAGGCATCCCGCGAAGTCACTGTCCGCGTGGACTGTGACTACCTCGCTGAACCTCTGTGGCGTGAACCTTTGCACCAGCCGCATTGTACCTTTCAGATACCGAGCCACCCTTTTGAGGTCTCCGAAGTCAGCCTCCGTAGGCCCTTGCATCTTCCGTGCAAGGCACTTGACGGTTTCAGACAGATCTGGCCTGTCTTGCGCCAAAAAGGCCGCACGCATGACCAAGGAGCGGTACTTGCTAATGCGGTCCGGCGCAACCGTAGGCATCTCCAGACGCTTTGCAACGTCTTCTGCCTTAAGCTTTTCGTTTGGGCTCTTTACCGGCTTGCAGGTTTCCATTTCCAAGTCTTTCAGAATGATTTCAGCGTGCCTGGGATCAGGCTCGTAGGAGATAGTGCCTGACCTCTCGTCGAAACGTACGAGACGGTTCAGTACACAAAACTCCTGCCTCTTTTCCCCTTGCCCGATGCTTCCATCAACCCTAAGGTCGTACTTGGATCTCAGGATCTGCTCCACATAGGCTTGTCCGGCGTCGTCACTCAAAATGAGGAAATCGTCACCGTGGACCAGGAGACGAATCTCTCGATCCTTGTGGAAGAAGATGGCAGGCCATGCTGGGCATCTTTCGAACCCAGCAGCCAGAAGGGCCGCGGTGTAATCAGCCTGCCATATGGCAGCTGCATCCCGCGTCCCATACATGGACTTGCGAAGCTTGCCAACCATCCCTGGTGTACGGTCACCCTCAGGTAACGTCACAAAGACATCCCTCTGGGCCTTCCCATAGAAGTGAGCCCGGGATATGTCGATGAGCCGAAGTTTCAGAGGCGATCGGCTCTTCTTGGCGACCTTCAGTGTCACCATGAGTGACAGGAGCAGTTTTACCGCCTCGAGGGGCGGCATCGCGCTAAAGGAAGCGAACTCGGGAATAAATTCCGCGTTCTTGGCACGCTTTACCTCACGACAGACAAGTCGTGATCGGTAGTTGGGCCGTTCGTTATCCCCTTTATTGCGATCTACCCATTTCATCGTTATGGGCATCTTTCCTGCAGCCTTTGCTTGCTCCTCCGGAACTTTCTCGTAGAGGTCTTGCTTTCGAACCCACTCTAGTTCTTCCTTGCGAGCAGCTGCAACCTTCTCGAGGTCCAACTCTGCTCCAGTGTTGGAGTCGTAGACAGGTCCCTCGATAGGATCGCTCGCCTCCGGAAGGTGGTTGAAGACCTCTTCCTCCTCGTCAATGACAGGAGCAGAGTCCGGTACAGGACCTGCCTCCATCATGTTGAGAGCTTGAGAAAACTCGCCGTCCTCGATAAGTTGGGCGCGAAACGCCTCCAAGATACCCTGCACAAGCTTTGCGGGATATTCCTGGGTGGCCTTGACCCGTCCCTTGACGATCTCGGCCTCCCGGTGCCAAAGCTTGCCCTTTGATGCCGCGCTCGCTCTGCGCAGCACGTCGGCGACGGTACTCGAGTTCGTGAGCCACCGCGTCTCCTTGTTCACAGTCGCTTTCGAGCTTCCACTCAGACTCCACCGACAGGTGGGACCTCGAACTTCGAAGACGCGGGGGTCCGCCTTGAGTTCCTTAACCTCTGGCTCCTCCCAGCTTCTTGCTCCCGAGGGGTGCTCGTGCAGAAAGTACCTTCCTGCGTTCACTTGCGTCCAGTAAGCACGGACGGTGGTCCTCAAATGCTTCTGGTCTCGTTCCACAGCCTCGCGCCTAGCGGAAGGCGCGACCTTCGCAGATGCATCCACCACCTGCTGTAAACTTGAGAGCGGGCCACGTGGTGGCGAGCCCCCAAGAAACTTGGGCTCCTCACGCTCCAAAAGCTCGAACAGCTCGTTCACGTGGGAGTCCTTGCTGAGGTCCCAGGCTTCGCCGTCCCCACGAGTAGCCTCGAGGTCCACAGAGAAACCAGGCCTCATGGCCTTCACTTGTGCCTGTGCCGCAACCCGCGGCACGGAGAAAACTTCCTTCACGGTGCCCTTGGCGCGCGCGTCCCTCAAGACAGCGCAGAGACACTCGGTGAACTGGTTCAGAGCCATAGCGCCAGATCCTCCAGCCGAATCGGCCGATGGCTCTGGCACCCGCTCTGGTTGGGGATCTCTACTCCCAGCAGAAGGGAGTGGCCCCATCACTGTTGCTTCTTCTCCTCCTCCATCTGCTTGCTGCATCCTTTCGTGCAGCACTTCGACGTCCTCCTCGGCGTCTCTCTTCTCTCCTTTCTTCTTTCCTTCCTTCCTCTTCTTCCTGGGGCTTCCGTCTCGAACGTCCTCGCGTTCCTGCAGCTCCCGAGCGGCACCTCTGGGCTCGGGCTCTCCTGCTGCTTCTCCCGCAGCCATTTCGGCGTCTGGCTCCGGCGCGCCGACCAACACAGGTGCGTTGGCCGCGGCCGCAGCTGCTGGAGCCCCTCCTTGGTTCTTGGGCCTCCTCCCGGCGTCAAGCCGGGCCCTGGCCGCATCAATGCGCGCCTTTCCATCTTCAGTCTTCTGAAGTTCCGCCTGGATCCTTAGGCGGCACTCGTTATTGTGCGATCTGCGCGGCATATCGCAGATCAGGGCTTCACAGCCCGGGCACAGCGGCGTGTAGCCGTGCCTCTCCAGGTCGCTCTTTAGAACGTACAGGTTCCTCGGAACCACTTCCTCCTGCGGCGCACGCCTCGGCTGTCCAACCACCGCAGGCAGGTCGACCCGAAGCTCTCCTGGCTCTCGGGCCTGGAGCCTCCAAGGAACACCTCGGAGTTTGCTCCAGTTCTCGTACTTGTACTGGTCCGCAGGAGGCCGGCGCATGATCGAGGCGCCCTTCACAACACCCCGTTCTGTCATGATGAACACGTCGTTGTTGGCGCCAACCCCCACGAACATGCCCATGCTAACCCTGGGCTCTAGGTCGTGTTTCCTGCCGTCTCGCGGCTGCCTCGGCCTAAAGAGCACGTGCTCGCCGAAGCTCACAAGTGGAGTTTTCCACTTCCTTCCGAACGTCCTCTCGTAAGGCGTCCGGCCGTCCGATCCCACGCGGAACCGAGAAAGCAGGTAGGCAGCGTGGCGCGGAAGCCACATCATGCATGGATGGGCCGGCTCGATATCGAAACCAAGCCGCTCTTGCAAGTCCGAGAGAATCGCCCGGACCTGCCGCTTCATCTCACGCACGCCCACCTCAATGTATCCATTTGCTTGGTGGTCCTCCACCGGCACCTCAACGAGGTGCACCTTCAAACTCATCTCCTCTTTCACCTTCTTCTTCAGCGCCACGATGGGGTTCTCGTTGTCGCTTTTCAAACAAACTTCCTTAAAACCTGTTTCGTTCAAGCAGCGCTTTAGCCACTCTACAGCGTAAAGGTCAGTACCCTTTTGCGGCACTACTGTAGACCAATACCTATCAGTTTTGTGACACTTCACTACCAAACAAGGCAGCACTCCCTCACTCTCGCTCTTTTCTTGGCCAGAGTTCAGGTAAAAGTAGTCTAGTGAAACGTAGGGCAACCTACCAGCGTCGTGGTCCGCAGCCTCGCCGGTCGCATGTCGTGGGGCCCCAGCACGGGCCCTGCAGCAGTGTATGCACCAGGAACGGTGCGTAACATGCCCCGCTGCGCGGTGTTCGTCGATCTCGGCGGGCGACGGATCTTTGGGAGACCGCCGGGCGATTGCCATCCGCCCCTCATGTGCAGCTTCCCCATCGCCGGCAGGGGCCTCCGGCGGGGGATCGTCAGGACTTACGCCTTCCGCTGCTCCGGAAAAGGGGCATCCTCCTTCTCCTTCTCCTCTTCGTTGTCGCCCGTTGCGTTCAGCTCGGGCTTCCGGTCCGTGGTGCGTGGCTGCACCCAAAAGTCAAGCATATAGATGCCGTTCTCGACGGTAACAGGCGTAAGCATGGCGTGGTGGCGGGCCACCAGGCCAGCCATGAACTGATCGTACTCCGCGGCCGCCTTGCTCCCAAGGGGAATCAAGCAGCCGCCCTTCTTTGTCAGCGCCAGGTGGTGGCCCTGAGCCACCTTGCTTCCCGACGCCAGCGGGCGATGAACGCCCGTGACCCTTCCGGTCACTCCCTTCAAGTTTCCACGGGCGTCGGTGCCTCGAATCTGCAGGCCGCCCTCGTCCCGCATCATCTCGGCGTTCGCGGTCTTGTAGGTTGTTCCGCTGGTGGGCCCCAAGGCGTATCCCATCTCCTTCAAGCTTTCGGCAAGCTCGATTGGGATCGCGGTCGCGGCGGCCCCGGTATCCAAATTCAACCGGATGCGCTTCCATCCGTCCACCTCCTCGACCACTCCAGCCGAATCGGCCGAAGTGCCAAAGGAGTGAACGAAGATGCTGGGTCCTCCCGGTGGCCCCTTTGGCCTCTTCAGCCCACTTTGGTCGTCTCGGGGCTCGTCCGGTGGCGGCGGCTCGTCGCGCTCCTCTTTCTCATCGTTTTCTTCCTTTTCTCCACGCTTGCGACGCCGCCTCGCAGCATTCTTCCGACGATAGTAATCAGCCCCTCGCTTGCGAGGGCCTCTCTCCTTCTTGTTCGGATCCTTGGCCAGGAGCTCCTCCTCGTCGTTCGGTTCCTGGCGTAGGTTCTCCCGAGCTTTCCTCGAGAGTGGCGCGGCCTCCTTCGTGGCCTCGCTTTTCCCTTTGTCCCGCGACCGTTCGTCGATCACCTCGGTCTCCCCGCGGAACCGATCGGTCTTATCGACCTTCTTCCCGGCGCCCCGGTCCTCGTAGCGTCGGTGCCACTCCTCGTCCTTTTCCAGGCGGTCTGCCACCCGATCCTTCAGCCCTTCGCGGCGGCTGAGGATGGCACGCCTTCTACCCTTCTCGCCTTTCCACGCCACGTGGTGGGCGACGCCGGCCGCCCGATCTGCGTAGTACCGGCTGTCGTGGAAGGACTGGTCGTCCAGGTTTTCCCTGGTGATGACCACGCTTTGCCTCGGCCGGTCTCTCGCGAGCTGCTTGCGCTGTTCGTCCAGGCGCTTCTTAGCGTCTTCATCCTCTTCCTCGTCGATGTTCTTGCGCAGCTGCTCCATCAAGGCACCACGCAGCAAGTTGATGCTCCCAGCGGTGAACCCTGAGAGGCGCTTTGGCGGCGCCCCCGGCTCACTGGAGCTCCTCTTCGGTGGCGTCTTGGGCGCCTTTGGCTCGCTGGGTGGCGTCTTGGGCGCCTTCGGTTCGCTGGATCTTCTCTGCTTTGGCGGCGGGCCCTTAGGCTCGTTAGGCTTCCTAAGGTCCGGCGGCGGCTTAGGCGCCGAAACCTTGGAGTGCGTCGTGCCCGCGGCGGCTCCAGGCGAAACAAAGCCCGGAGTCTCGCCCGCACTCTTCTGCTTAGCCCGCTCCACCGCCTTCGCGGCAAACCGGCGCACCGCAGACCTTCCGCGGTCGCGCCTCTCCGAGCAGGTGTCGCAGTCTGTTCCCTGGGCCTTCAAGACAGCCTCTCCAAGCGACCCCGGCGGGATCTTCTTCCGCAGCTCCTTCTTGTGATCCTGGCGCTCCCGAAAGCGCATCTTCTTCCAATCTTCCTCTGGGATCACATGCTTCATCCCGGCACTCCGGGTTCTCTTCTTGTTTCGCGGCTCCTCCTCTTCGTCTCCGTCCCCGCTAGTGTCGTCGCCGCTGCTTGGCTTTGTCAACTCCCTGCGTGCGGGGACCTCTTCTCCGGCTTTCGGTAGCACCTTCGGCTTGGGCTTCAGGTACTTCGCCGCCGGCTTCGGCGGCACCCCTTTCGGGGGACTGGCCTTCGGCTTTGGAGCCGCCACCTCCGGCTTCTCCTCGTCTTCGGTCTTCACCTCTTCTTTCTTCACTTCTTCTTTCTTCTCCTCCTTCTTTGCCCTTTTGGGCGGCTTTGGTGGAGCCGCCCTTGGGGTCGCAGGCGCAGGTCCCGGCGCAGCACCTGAGGAGCCTCCAGCCGAACCGAAGCCGGAGGACTCAAGCTGGGCCGCCTGCTGCCGCACGAGCATCCCCAAAGTGAGGTTCTCACGCAGAAGCCGAAGCATCACATCCACACTGGTGTCCCGAGAGGACCCTGCCCCGGAATCCGAAAGCAGAGACACGCCCCCGAGCTGAGCCACCAGAGGCAGGCTGGAGAGAGCATTCACAAGAGCCGGGTCCGCCAGTGAAGCACCGGCGGGCACCGTAGGGAACACGCTGGTTGCCGTAGGGGCGTCTGAGACCGGAGGGTCTTCTTCCACGAACTCCTCCTCGCGGCTTTCCTCTTGCATGTCGCGCGCCATCGGCGCGGAAAGGTGCAGGGCTCCTAGAGCTAAGTAGTTACTTTCGTTTGAGCCCGCAACTTCGTTCCAACCCTCGTTTTGGTCCCAGCCCTCTTCCCAACCACCGCCGTCCCAGGTAGTGGCCTCTTCTCCTTCCGGCTCCTTCTCTTCTTCCACGTTTCCAACCTGCTTGGTCTTTCCTCCCTTTCCTTTTCCTCCTTTTCCTTTGCCTGGTTTTCCTCCTTTTCCTTTCCCAGGCTTTCCTTTGGGTCCTTTTCCGCCCTTTGGCGGACTGGCGTTGTTCGGCTTTCCGCCGCTTCCTCCTTTCTTCGCTTTTCCTCCGCCCGGTGCCCAGCAGTCGGCGACAAGGTGTCCTGGCTTGCCACAGTTGTGGCATACACGTTGTTCCTTCTTCGCCGGCTTGCCTTTTCCTTTGCCCTTGGGCTCTTGACCGAACGCGCCGACGTCCATTGGCGCCGGACCGCCCGTGTCAACAGGCGCACCAGGCTTGAGCTTGAGCCCCACACGCGTCTCCAGGTAGGCGCTCAGCTCTTTGCGCACATCCTCGTAGCCATCGAACCGTGCTTGGTTCAGCTGCAAGTGCTTTTCGACCTCCGTCGGGCAGATCGACTCGAGGATCGCCGTCTTGATGTCCTCGTCAAGGGTCGGCCGCGTACCGTCAGGCTTCCGCCTGTTTTCGTACAGGCGCACTTGTTCTTCCCAAGCCTCGACCGCAGCCGATAGCTCCTCAACGCGGTTCACCCTTTGCGGGTTCAGCACGCCCCGCAGCATAGCTCGGCGGCGACCTCCCGTAGAAGGATCGAACCGCTTGCTGAGCTTCCTCCAAGCTTCCAGGCCCTTTCCCTTGCCGCTAGACCGGACCAAGGTAAAGGCCTCCTTCTCACAGAGCGTTTGCAGCACAGCGTAAAGCTGGGCCTGCATATCTTCGAGATCGGCAATGTGCTTCTCGGTCGGGTTCGTTTCCCCGAAGGCAGCGGTAAGCGCAGCCGAGCTGATAGGATCAGCTTCTTCCTCTGCCCAGGCCATAGCAACCTCAAGGTCCGGGTGGACGCTCGCAACAAACGCCTCTAGGCGTATCTTCCACTGGAGAAAATCCGTCTCTCCACTGTAGTTGCTGGGCTTCGCGAGCCCCCGATTGTCGATCAGCGTCAGCTTCTTATCCGGTCTCTTGGTCGCTTCCAGAATGGCTTTCTGGGTCTCCACCATCTGCTGCATCACGGTCTGCAGCCCAGGCGAAACGCCCGGACCGCCAGCCGCAGATGCAGCCGTTGCTTGCTGCGCAACCGCCGTCAGGCGATTATTCAGATCCTCTTCTCTCCTCCTGCTCTCGAGCAGTTCGTTCTGCAAGGCTTGCAGCTGGGTAGCCAGCTGGGTCACATCAATTGCCCCGCCTGCCATCGCGACGCCTTGTGGTCCTCACAGGTCGCTCTTGGGCCTCTCCCTGCCGAAGCAGCTGGGAGTCAAGCAGGCGCGTACGGAATTCCCGGCTGAAGTTCAGCCCCTGAAGAAACAGGCCCAGATGGCCCCAAATGCGTTGCAAGCGCCGAATGCGCTGCAACTTCCTGATCAGCCTTGCCCACCTGTTCACCACACAGGCCCGGTATCGCCTTGCACAGAGCCTCAGAACGAGACCTCGAAACATTCACTCCTGGAGCGCAACCGAGCGCTCCGCTACCATGATTAAATAATAGCAACGCTCCTATTTTCCTTGAGCCAAAAGCAAGGTCAGTTGCATCTTACCATTTAGGAAGATACGTGTCCGGAATCATGTGTGTATGTATATATATATATATATATATATATATTATAGATATGTCTATACACACTCACACCTAGTTTTCATATATCAACATGTGTATATATATATATATATATATATGTATATATACATATATACATATACATACATACGCACATGATTACATACATATGCATAAGAAAAGCCCTTTTGAGCACCTGCCCGTCACTTCGAGGGTGCTGAGCGCCCCCGGTCCGGCGAGGCCCAGACCGTGGATCCTCAAAAATCGCTCAGAAAAGGGCTGTGATGTAGGTTTAGGGTTTAGGATAATTAGAATAGGGTTTTGGGGCCCATTATCACTATACTATGTTTGTAATCAAGAACCCCCCCAAAAAGAGTGTAAGTTATTATTAAGGCCCATGAATTAGGGTCGCGGGATCTTGGTTCCTTAAGAACTCTTCTCTTTTACAGGATTCTGAAAGCGTCCTAGAAGAAGGGCCTGCATCACTGGAAAAAGGCTTTGGGGTATACTCCAACGGAATACTCCGATCCCTACATTCGGTCTTCGTTGTGGGGCCTCCCAGCAGGTTCTTCACGGTTCGGGTTTCGACCGCCAGAGGCTTTCATCCAGGGCTTTGGGTCTTTCGGGGGGCTCGGGGCTCGGGCTCCCGAGGGCTTAAGGTCCCGTTTTGCGATGTTGGCCCACGATTGAATCTTGGCAGCGCAGAAGTACATGCTTCTATCCTAAGCCCTGGACACTACATGATCCCCAGATTCTTCGAGCGAGAAGTACCAACGGCCTGAAGCACTCAAATCCAAAACCACGCGCCCTAGTCCGTCAGACACTCAAATTACAAACGATGGCTTTGGGACCGACCCGCCAGCCAGTCACACAGGAAATGTTCAGCTCAGAGGTTCAGGGTGAGGATTTAGGGGTTGGGGACTAGTATAAGTTGTTATAACGGCCTGGCATAATTCGAGTTTCGCAATTGAGGGTTTGGGGCGTATGGTTTCAGGTTTGGGGCAGACTCTACTTGTGAGCAGTGCTGAGCAAACGAACAAGCCATGTGCACGCTTGCTTTTCCATCTCCCCTCTTGTTGAAATGCACTCAGCCCGTTTTGTGAAGGTTCCTGCACTGTGAATGGACCGACCAACTATTTGGTCTACCTGGTCTCATCGCGCGGGTTGGAGTTGCATGCTGCATCCAAAGCAAACAGAGAAGTCTTTGCGGGAGATAAGAACGCATGCCGGCAGGCCCTAAGCCCTGTAATTAAGCGCGAGGATGCTTACCACATCGCTAAACAAGGCTCACATCCGGACAGGGAAGGTCGTGCCGCACCTGGGCATACCTGGGCAGCCGGAATCAGCTAGGCTTCACTGTTTAGAGCCGCATAAGCTCGTAAGCTTCAACGACATCCCTACCCAAGTTACGGAGTTCGGTGCTCAGGCTACGCTGAATGTCTCTACGCCCGTGCTTGCATTGCACCCGGAGTACGGGACCAAGGCCCTCGGTTCCCGGTTCCCGATTCTGCTGCAAAGCGGCCCTCAACCCCGCACTCTTAATCCCAAGAGCGGCTTTGCTCCTCCTCCCTCCGCCTCGTGGTACATGTCTCTAAGTGGACCATCATTGAGGCTTTGTGCTTCTTGAGCGCTAGTAATACTACAGATGTGATTGCACAAGGTGAGTGATACGATGAGTACAAGAGCAATGCCATAGGCAATTGAAACCAGACTGACCAGGCTCCTTGTCTCTCCTCCTCTCACTGTCACTCACTCACTCGCTCTCTCTCTCTCTCTCTCTTCTTCTTCTGCTGGGCGTGGGAGGCGTGCGAGGCCCCCCGGCCGCATGGGCCCCCTATGTGTTATAGGGCTTTTGGAGAGGGCGTGAGAGTGACAACGAGTCCCCCTGATAAGAGATAGGAATAGAGTTCAAATGTTGCTGTCAGGGTTCTTCAGTTGTAACAGACACATGCACAGCTTCACACTTGCACTGCACTGCATGTCCCCCTGGGTATCGTAACAACGGATAAAGAACAAAAAGAGCAGATAACTTGAAGGGACATGCTTCGTCGTACACTACAAGCTTGGATGACGTACGACCTCTTGAATCATGTCTCTCTCTCTCTCTCTCTCTGTCTCTGTATCTCGTATTTCCTCCGTGTCACATATGCGAGAGAAGCAATGTATACAGACTGTACAGCACATTCTAGACATGATGTGATTTTATTTTCATCACATTATCATATTGGGCTCAGATATGCGCGCTTCAACTCCAGGCGGCAGGTTGGCGCCTTCGGCAGGGAGGATGACCGCAAGTTTCACCCCAGAGGACCAAGACATGGCCAGCCTCAGGCAGAACGTTCGCTGTAAGCCTAAGATAGGGGCCCAAATAGGTAGAATAAGGTTTTGGGGCCCGTTATACTCTAGTTACAAGAAGGAACCCATTCGAAAACCCAAGCAGATTTCATTTCTTCTTCTCTTTTAAGCTTTTAGGGCCTTCAAGGCTGTCGCTCTGATCCGTTCCTCCGTGAAGAACCTACAGTAGCAGCTCAAAGACTTGCAGTTCGTCAAAGAGCCGAATGCCCTCGAGGAGGGTGTGGCCTAGCCCCTGGGTTTGAGGTCAGGTGATCTTGGGATTCGGATCAATATGGATTACGGTGTAGATCTCCGGCAATGGGTGCCAGGCCCACCCTCTTTTGGAGCACGAACACTTCATGAAAATCTCAGCCCCGAGCTCACTCATTTTTTGCATCCGGGCTGTGAAGTTCCCCTAGACCCGAAACCCTATCAACCCTCGCCTTCGCCCTAAACCGAAACCCTAAAGCCCTCAGCCCTACGCCCTAAACCCCGAAAAGCCCTAAACCCGAAACCCTTAATCCTTAATCCCAAAGCCCCAAACCCCAAGGCCCTAAGCATCCCTAAGCCCTAAAGCTCAAAAAGCCCAGGGGGCTGGTCATCTGAGATCCAGAGAAGGCCTGTCACTCGCCCCCCTCCCTGAGGTCGGGGGACATAGGTGACCTGAAGCTTCGCGGGACTTCATAGGCTTTATTGTTTTTTATCACTATTGTTCGAACCATTGAACCATTGCTCATTATTGTTATTATCACTATTCTTAGAATCTCTCTCTAATTATTTTTCCATTATAAACCTCATTGGTAGTATTTAGTATTCATATGCTATTGTTATTCTTCTTATTCTTATGGGGGTATGGGCTCTCGCAACTCGGACTCTGCAGGCGAGGCTGTAGGGGTTTGGGCGCGAATACTCGGACAATCCAGGCGAACCATCTGGTCATTAGGTCGGCTGGGTGAAACATGGAAGTTTCCAGAAATAGGGGACCCTAATATAGTACAGTACCCTGACTAGTAGGATCCTTCTTACAAGGACCCCAAAACCAGGTACCCCTAATTTTCGGAAACTCTAAACCCTTATAGGGCACTTTGAAGGAACCCTTGTACGTACCCTCATAGTAACCCCTTAAAGGTACCCCTACTTTTCGGAAACTCCCATATCATGCTATAGGGCTTGAAGGCTTCAGAGTGTACACTCTCACAACTCAGACCCGACAGGGCTCTGGGTTGGGATAAGAGCCTTTCTGCCGGAGCTTGTCGTTTGCTGGGATGAGTTTTATGAATCGCGGAATGATGATCTGAGCAGACTGCCGCTCCCTTTTCCAGGATGCAGAAACCGGGGAAAGATGGTTTTGGGTGGTATAGGGCTTAGGATTTAGGGAGGCTACACTACACGGCTTCGGGATCTATGTCGCGACAACGACTACTGGAACTGGAACAAGGCAAGTCAATCCGAAGCCATAAGACTGGTTTTCACCGGGAAGCCTTCTGAGAGGTTGCGGTGTTGTAGACCTTCACACCTCATCTGCACATGCAGCACTCTGGTGGTTCGGGCGAACGTGAAAAGCTTCCCAGGCGCTTCTGCTTCACGGATGGATGCCATGACATCATCACGCGCACTATAAGCGCAACGACGATCATGGCATGGTTATCGTCATGCATCATCGGTGCATCATAACTGTCGCCATCTTGAAGTGCATAAGCAGGAGCGCCACCACAAATAACTTTGGGAGTCGCGCCTTTCTCGTTGCCCCAAGCGATGAGGGAGGCCCGCCAGCGCACCTTGCCATGCTTGACGGGGGCGGAAACTAGCCGGTGCTGCCGCCGATAGCAATGACGATTCTCCGCATCATGAGTCGTGTCCTTCTTGTGGGTAAGGTGCATCTGATCACTATCTCTCCTCGAAACCACTATACAAATGTAATTACTGTCATTTGCTTCCGCCCACCCCGAACTGCCTGATTGATCTGCCCTTCTCCGGAATGCAGAAGTGTCTGGCCACCCAGAAAAGTTCGTCGGTGCAGGATCAGGCCTCAGCAGTTTCTCGGATGTATTATTGCATTTGCAGCTGTCTTACGGGGGGCGAGGTTCTACGCTCCATTCACAGGAGAGTCCCAGATTTTCGGAGAACCCTTGAAGGCGTAGCGCTCTAAGTCCTCCTCAGTGCAGCTGCCTTTTCCTGCAGTGAAGGGGTCGTCTAGGCAGGTTTATCGGTTTATGGTACTGCAGTTCTCTGATTGGGACGATGAAAGAATCAAGCGACAAACAATTGTGTGTAGGTATCGCTTCGCGGGCTTAGATTTTGGCCTCTCTTGCAGGTGAAGCAAGAACAGAACCGGGTACTAGTCACTAGTTTTACGCTCTCGCAACTCGGACAAGCCAGACGAGGTCTCGGCGCGTAGTTCTTTGACTGGTCGGTAGAAACTGGCTGACATACAGTTCTGCACGACCGGGAGCAATGAACGCAGTTTCAGCACTCACTCTATGAAAGCAGTTTAGGGTTCAGGGTTTAGTAGTGATTTTATCCGCATCGCTGCCAACTGCTAAACAAGCATGGTTAGACATCGTCGTGGTCAAAGTAGCAGCAACTACAGTACATTCAGTACATAGCACAGTAGTAGGAGCAGCACCAGCAACACAATATCAGCACGTAGAATCTCAATCTCCGCACTACGAGGGAGCCCCGATGCCGCGAACTACGCCGCAGCTTAGCCCACTCATCTCCACCCAGCCGGATCTCGACTCGATCCCGACACTCTGGAACCGGAACTGCACAGCCACGGGGTACCTCCAGGCTCCATCTCGCCAGAGAGCCCAAGCTGCGCAAACTTAAGACGCGCCAACCCTTGAGCACGAGGCTCTACGAATCCCAGGGTGTTGGGACCTCGGAAAGAACTGAAGGGTTTGGAGCCTGGTTGCGGCCATCATCGCCTCCAGCGCAGAGTGCGAAAGTGTCCTGCAACCAAGATAAAGCTCAGAAGTTTCATGAAGTCGGCGCCCTGTAACCTCGTTGCCCTTAGCCCCAAACTCCTCAACCGCAGAATGGTTGAGGAGCTGGCTTTGGAACCGGATTTGAAACCTAATCCGCATAAGGCCTTCCTGTTCGAGTCTCTTGACGACGAGGATATTAGCAACAGGAAGGATCTTAATTAAGAGTTGAACAATACTATGGCATATCTGCTATAATACGCTCAAGATTACTCATCATCCAGGCTTCTATCTGATCTGTATATTGCTTAATTAAGAGTTGAACAATACTATGGCATATCTGCTATAATATGCGCAAAATTACTCATCATCCAGGCTTCTATCTGATCTGTATATTGCTTGGTGTCGATAGCCGGCTTCACTGCGTACATGCCTGGAGAGGTGGAGTTTAAGCAGGTTTCACTGCGGGATTCGATTTCCAGCCGCTCCAGCCACATTCTACGATGGTATCTTAATAAGCTATGATATGGGTCGGGCATTTTTTTGATTAGGGCCTCCTTTGCGGGTCCCCCAATAAAATAGTGCGGCACCCCTTATGAAAAGGGCCCCAAAACCCAGAACAAGGACCCTAACTTGGAGAACTGACCATCTATGCCAATGTACTATGAAGATCTCTGGATCCCACATCATCTCGTGGGGTTTACAAGGTAAAGGCTTCGGAATCCGTTTGTCGAACTACAAAGGAAGCCCTCTTTTGCATCGGGGTTTATAGGGTCTAGGGTATAATTAGGAAAGGAGCTCTAAATCATGGGCCCGCAATCTTGGACCCGAAATCCCCCTGAGTCGCCCGAACCCCCGTCCTTCTGCGCCCCGAAGTTTGGAGCTAAAGCCAAACCAAGGACAGGCCTTGCATCTGAGGGCATAAACTAGACATGGGTTTAGGGCTTCGGAGTGTGCATGGAGTCAGGGGTTTCAGAAGTTGGAGTTTAGGCTTTCGGGCTTCAGAATAGCGCGTCATGCCTGTTCGTGTTTAGGAGGGTTCTCGGGCTCACCGAGGGCCTTTCAAGGAGGATTGCGTCTACCGGAGTGCGTGTGCGAGAAGCTTCGGCATTGAACCTGAAGTAATACAAGGGCCTTAAGAATTAGAATAGGGTTTTGATGCCCATTATACTACATTTATAATAAGGAACCTGCAACATAGTATACTAGTAAAATATAAAGGCCCCCATGCTAAGTTTAAAAAAGCCATTGTGCCACAGCGTCAAGCGAGAGTGCTCCGCGACCCAGGGCTCGCCGCCGTTGCCTGCAGCTCTCGAAGTCTCGGGCATGTTGGGAGGCCTTAAACCCCGAACTACAACCACCCATACTATATGTGTTTTAGGGAGGCCTAAGGAATAGCATTCCTGATTTTGAAGGGCTGCTTCGTGGGTAGATTTCGGTGACAAATCCAGACAGGTGGAGGATCTGAGGAAGCTGCAGGGCCTTGGGGAGGCTTGTGGGGTGCGGCTTGCGTGGGAAGAAATACTTTTCATCGACAGAACCGGTGTTGGCAAGAGGCGAACATACAAACAACACCAACCATAGGGGCTTAAAGAATTACCTACACTATTTTTGGGGGGTTCCTTATTATAACTATAGTATAATATACCCAAACCTTATTCTAATTATTCAGTTAAACATCCACGGAAGGCACTCCAAGCATTTTTTCTCGAGAGTCCTCAGGCCGGCACCTAGAGGCCAGACCACAATGCGCCCATCACCAGTTGCAGCTGCCACGAAGAAGCCATCGGAATCCGTCGCCAAAGCCTCAGCTGACTTCAAACCCGCTGCGAAGGATTTGGCATAAGATCTTCAGCTCTTGGGCCCCTCAATCCTCAAACCCGGGCTGCTTAGGGCGCTTCCTAGCCATGGCATGCCAATGCAAGCAAGGGCTCATGGATGCACGCGTTGCCCATTGGTATCTTCCTGAGGTGAGGTTCGGGATCTGAGGCTTAGGGTGCCCTTAAGTAGTGAAACACGGAATCTCATACTAGCAGGTGCTGAATCACACAAGGTGAAGAATATGACAAGGCCAAACAGGCACACAGAGGGAGTATTGATGACCAAGCATCCGCACGTTGGTGACCTCAAGCAAGAGGATTGTGCTCGGCTTGCATAGGCAGGCGTTGATTCGGTTTCGCTTGCGATAGGGGTGGGGTGTGGCAGATGTATTGCTGCACCGTAGGGATTGCACGTGATGGGCGTCGATCACACGATGCCGGAAGGTTTATGACCTGCATGGATCTAAACCTAATTACACACGACTTGTGGTGGAAGCCGGGGCTGATGAACCAGGGTAGGCGATCAATTATACAAACTACTGGTAGCAAGGTCTCAGGCATGTAGCATGTCGGAACCCATGTGCTTCCTTCCTGGCCCTTTTTCTTTTTTCTTTCACTGCTAGCTGAGGTTTGACGATTTCCGATGAAGTTTTGTCAGGGCCCTTCCCCAGCAGTCCCCAACTTCGTACTCTGCATGGTCGTAAGAACCGAAGATTTGCCGCATGTGTATGTATGCATGTATGTAGGTAGGTAAGTATACATATGTATGCATCGTTGAGAACTTATGTACATATGCATTTAGATGTACTTGTCTGTGCTGTTCTGCTGCATACTCCTGAAGAAAAACCACATGTTAAAACCAGGTACCAGGAAGTGATAGCTAAACCTCTTCAAGATAGTATACCCTGTTTGATTGTAACCAGACTCCCTGTGTTTGAGCAACCATTCACCAGGCTCGAAGTGCTTGCCGTAGCACACCATGTTCCCAAACGCAGACATTGCCAAGGCGGGTTCCTGAAAGTGGCCCGAGGCGAAGAGAAGGCTTCGCAGAGTTCGTGTGCTTGACTTTTGGCATTCTGGGTGAAAAGTGGTCTGCTAGATCCATGTGCAGCCGCTTCGTGCTCTGAGATGGCGCTGGCTATCAAAGCTGGAGTACCCCCGGGAAGAAACATGCTTAAGCACCTGACCTCGCGAAGTAATCATGCGATGCGGCACGGCTGTCATGTGTCAAGAGCTTCCGATGACCATTTCCACGAGCATCTTTGTAATTGGGAATGCCGCCGATTTAGTAGTTTTCCCTTCAGCAGTCTAAACCGCCACAAGCCGGCCGAAACAGATCATGACCTGAGGCTGACGGAATGCAGAAACTACCTGCAAGACTCTGATCAACCACCTCAAACCGGATCAGGACTGAATCAGCCAGCTGGCCAACGCCAGCAATCGAAGCACCGACGGTGATGGCCGTGATCTGCACACTGCACTATGAAATTCATGGCTCTGCAGGCTTAGGGGTTTCAAGTTTAAGGATCTGCTGCAGGCCGTAGAAGACCCACCCTGTGCATGCGCGGAACATAAAGCTCTGAAGCTTGTCGCTGTGAACCGCTACTCAGATCCTGCAGTGCAGTGCACATGGCGCCGAGTGTCACAGTTTTTTGCACCCCGGAGCCCGAATTCATCCAAGCCTGTTTTTCCCGTGACAGCCAACGCTATGTGCAATGCTGAACATTGCATGTTGCACAGTAGCGTAACTGAAGCTCTCTCTCTCTCTCTCTTTCTCTTTCGCTCTTTCTAATTCGACGGATGATTAATTAATATTAATTAGAAACCCATCAAAAGTCGTTTACAGAGTCAACCTATACAAACAAACTCGAGCGACTTCAACCAGAGAGCTACACGCAATCAATCACCTGGCCAAGGGAATTCTCGCGGCTTTGTGGTGAGTAGAGGCGTGGCCAAGACCCGCCGAGACCTAGATACAAAGCCTGAACACGTAAGCATCCAGGGAATCCAAGCAACCCCAAACCCCAAATCAAAACAAAAAGCAGGACGATGGCAACATCCTATCCCGTGATTGCCGAGAGGATCCTGCAGAAAACCTCGGATCAAAAGCCCCTAAACCGAGACCGTAAGCCCGAAACCCTAAATAAATCCAGAAGCCCCAAACCCTACTAAACCCCATATTGAACCCTACCATATTAAACTCTGCGATACCAGATGAAACCCTGTCACGACCCAAGCACCCCAAGTGGCCTCGTCATGGCCGGCAAAAACATCCGGCAAGACCTTGCGAATGTCCGTGCAAACTGTGGGATGCAGTGTTCGAGGGCGAGGGGGGGTTCAGGGCTCTAAAGCTTAATTTTTGATCCCTAAACCCTAGGTTTGGGGTTTATGAGGTCCCTATTCCCTATAAACCCTAAACCACAGCCAGACGAGGGAATTCGGGGCGCACTCTACAGGAGGGAGAGCTTGCAAAGCAGCGAGCTGAAACAATCAAGGCCGATTCCTTCTCACAGGGTCATCTGCATAATAAGTTTGTGAACACAGAAATCATACCTCGGTTGGGGCAGGAGTGAGCAGTAGGGCCTAGGGTTTACAGCGGCCTCCCACTTCCTTTAGGGTTGGCAGGTTTGGGTTTCGGGTTCGACGGCTTACGGGTTTCACGAGGGTTTCAGCCTTAAGTGTGGTAGAATCTTGTCAGGGTTTTTGCAGGGTGTCTTGAACATCATTGCGTCCCAGGGCTTAGACTGTCGTCTCGTGCCTCCAATGATATCGGCCCCAACACCACCCCAGGGAAACCTTCCTGTGAAGAGCATTCTCACCCACGGGGAAAGGAACTCTTTAAAATGAGGCGTGCCGTGCTGAGTGTTCTCATAAGAAAGATACCACAACTTGCTGCCTAGGTTAAGGGCTTCTTCTGATTCCCACATGATGCCAAGCTGCTGCGCTTGTCAGCGGCCGGAACTCAACCAGAGGCTTCCTGTCAGCGGAACAGATACACTTGAGGACCGTCCGAGTCTGCAAGGCTCCGAATTGTCTAGGGCAGCCCTGTAAGGTACCACACGTCTAGTACCCCTCCTACTAACCGTTCTTGAACAGTTCTGGCAACCGTACCATCCAAAGTATGTGAAGAACCTTAGGCCCAACACTCTGCTAGCAAGCCTCAGTCACAGCAAGAGTCATAGTCATAGTGGCAGTGGCAACACTACTAGCAAAGTTAAAAGTAAGTGGCATAGTAATTGCAGTAGCATGTAGATGTATATGTATACATCTGTATATATACACACGTACATACATGTAGATGTACATGTGTACGTATATTTATATGTATATACACCCATGACACAGGCACAGCCAGGACCGGATAGCCCAAAATTCAGGGCCGATAGAAGATAAAAGGAGTGCTCAGAGATAATTAAATCCTGAATCCAAAGCCCGACCGCTCTAGGATCTTGCGTTTCAAGCTGCACATACTGAGTACTAGCCCCCAACCACCAATCCCGGCCCCTGGGATATGCAGTAAGACTAAAGAAACCAAACAGGTCGAAGGATAGGCTCCTGCTGAATATGATGGGAGAAATCAGATTGGCAGGAGATGTCATGAAGGATGCTTCTTGCTTGGATGTGCCGTGTCAGTGGCGACTCAGCCTGAGTGTCCTGGACGACCATGCTGTGTTAGTTGGGGCAGGAGGCAGGATGAGCAGCAAAGGGCAACCACGCAATCATCATCCTCCTGCCCAGGCGCCCATCGATACTTACAAGTCATAAACGAAACCCCGAATCTTCAAACCGGCCGGGGGCGCCCTTGCTTGAGCTCGCCCGCCATGAGCTAAAACTGTGCTCGTCACGGTGCCGGGCCATTGCGAGTATGATCGGGGCTCTTGGCTCAAGTATTCGAGTTTAGGCGGTGGTCTTCGGGATTACGGGATGCGAAAGCATTGGGACCTGGGGCGAGTCGGTGCAACAGGGTTCAAGGGGGGTGCTAAACCAGGTTTTTACAATAGTTTATGATGTGTATAGATATATATGTATATGTGTGTGTGTATACATATATAAATATAAATATAAATATATAAATATATAAATATATATACATATATATATATATATTACACAAGAAAAGTTGTCTGCACCATGTTGATTTTATCCGCTCCTTCTCCAGGCTTTTGAGAAAGCGTGGGACGGTCTGCCTGCTGCTGCCGCTGACAAGACCAGAAGTGCATTGAACGCGAACTGCAAACACAGCGTTAGCCTCTATGCCTAAGTGGGAGGCGACAACATTACATCCTATACAACCCTGTTTGCAACAGGAATCCTATACAACCCTGATCCCTAAACCCTCGATCATCACTATAAAGCTTAAGCCCGAGACGATAAGTGTATAAGGATACCTATGAAGGAGGAAGATCAGATTGCTCGAACCCGTGCAAGACATCGGATCTGAAACCTGTTGTTCTTCAGGACGGAGCTCTTGTGAAACTACGGCTAACGAACATGGCTACACCATAGGGGGCTTGACAGAACAAACACTCTGAGCTCAAGGTTTATAGGTCTTGTTTAGCTTGGTACACTGTTCGCTTTGTGCCTGTCATCCCTTGCGCGGGGGCTATGCTAGTCTTCTCTCTATCGTTCCAATTTCAGCGGATGATCCCAGAAGGGTACATCTTCGTTCCCCGAAAGCAATCAGGCATCCTGCAACGCACCACAACGTGACCCCAACTACCCTTGGCTTGGGTACTGCCGCCATACAGTAACAGTCTATAATAGGGCTACTATTAAGGTCCTAATATATATATATATATATATATATATATATATTATGAAAATTATCCAACTGTTGCTGAGTGGGGGCAGTACCCAACCCTTGGGGTTGATGATATAAATCCTGCATTACCCATAATAAGGAATATAGCGTAATTCCCATAGTTTAGGGTCCTTAAGGCAATGCAGGATTTATATCATCAACAGTACCCTTGGCTGCTGGCGGAGAGGAGCTGGTTGCCATCGCGGTCATATCGGCTCCAGACTTTCTTCAGCCTGCACTGGGACACGATCTTTGCCCATTCCGAAAGGCCAGGCTATGGCCGATGGGGTACTATTGGGGCTTGAAATCTTGGAATAGGGTTTGGGGACATGTATATTATCCTAAAATTACAATAAGGAGCCCCCCCAAAAGAGTATAGGTAATTACTAAGGCCCCTACAGTAGTGTTTTTCAATTCGGTGGTTCTAGGAGTTCGTGTCGCAGTGCGGCTTTCTACACCTTCGCTCCCTTCTCCATTTACACCTAGGTTGGCCCCTTAAAGCCTCTCAAAAATATTCGTAAATAGGGTCCTACTAAGCCCAATAAGGGAAAATGTAGAATGTCCTTAAGGCCTGCCTAGACACCCTGCAGTCTTCCAACGTTGTCTGACACGAGCTTGCGCATGTCGCTTTCTCTAGAGGCAACAGAGAAAAGATTTACAAACCAAAAATGAAGCTCGATCGGCTTCACTTGACGCTGGGCACTCTGACAACCACGCAGCAGCATGAAGAATGGACCCTGTGACTCAGGCTTAAACAAAAACGCTTGATGGGCTTGGGATTGAAGGTTTCCCGCCCTAAATTCTAAGCCGTAATTAAATTAATCCCGGAATTAAGATCCTGGGTGCTTGAGCTTATGATCTGATCCAGCTCCGTCACGTTAGCGTTTCGTCGCTCACAGGGGTTAGTTATTCAGGGTTGGGGTTTAGCAACCTCTGCATTCACCCATCTTAAGACAGAAACTGGGCGATTGAAAATTGAAAATCTTTCACTTGGCTTGAAACTTCCGAAACCTGGTGCGCGTCCGGCTTCGGGCCTAGTTCCGAAGGCTTTCCCGGATTAGAAACTCATTACTCGCAACTCGGCACAGCCGGGTTGTGGGAAGCTCGGGCTTCGATCTGGCCTCACAAGGTCATACTCGGAGAAGCCGGCACGGGCTTGAACCACGTCGTAGATCTTCACAAACCTGAGGTTTAGATTTGAGCTCGGGATTGAACATCCCAAGGCGGGCCTGAGAAGCCACCAAAATCGTCAAGGCGGAACCTCCCAATCCCTGCCAACACACACACACACAGATATATATATATATATATATACATATATATATATATATATGCATATATATATATAGATATAGATAGTTATACATAGCTCGGGTAGGGTTTCTGAAAAAGGTCTAACATAACCAGAGCGGGGTTTGTATTCATAGGAGTAAAGTACACACTATGGTATAAAAGGCTCACATTCCTAACATCTAACCTCGAAGGCCCGATGTGCGGCGACATGGTCGCCTGAGAGTTTGGAACCGGGCCTTACAGCAACAGCTGTTCCCAGGCAGGTCGCCCGCAAGGTCGGGTGAACTGCTCATGTTGGGGCGGGCCTGCTTGCCTTGAAGCAGCGACTTCTCTGTGACACAACCCCCCCTGTTCGATGTCGTGCCTGATGACGAGCAGGATGTTACAGTTTGCGTCACCAGTTGTCCGTGATTCCCCTCAACAGGTTGAGGTTCTTTGTCTTGCAGATCTGGACACTGTTCGTGAATTTGCCACCCACAGTGAGGTGGATGTTGTCAGGCATCTCCTCTGACCTCCTTGCGCCGATTGTCACCGTTAAGCTTCGAGACATGATGTTCACAATGCCTGAGTGCCTAGCCTTCAGCACCGGGCCAAACTCCAAACCCTGGACGTGATTCACCAGGAGTCACCAGGACTCCCACATGCCAAATGGTGAATCCTAGTCGAGGCCCTATGAACAGAGGCCCTAAAGCTGTCTCTACGTAGCCGCACTGTAGCACCCAGCCTCAAAGCACCTTAGTTCCCTACACACTGCACTTCTCTGGGATGCGGACTCCTCAAACGTCAAATCTCGAAGCCCACTCTCGCCTGAGCGGAATCAACAGCAAACCATTGGGCTTCAAAAAACAGAGTTCTGTAAGGGCCCTCTACAGAAGGGATACAAGGGTCGTGCATGCATGTATGAATGTATGAATGTACATATAGCATATACCTATGTATGTATGTACGCACGCACGTGGAGATCTGTAAAATTTCATCTGCATGTGCATATTTGCGCGCATGTCTAAGTCTACAAGCGTATTGTGTGTATGAAGGCGCATCCGCAAATTGTGTAAACGCACACGCATGTATGCGCAAGCACAAGTGCGAGTGCATGTGTACATGTATGTACCTGTCAGTTGATTTATGCACCAATCTGCCTATATACCTATCTAACCTATCCCTCATACCCATCTATCTATATAGATAGCCATCTATCTATCTATCTGTCTATGCATATACACTCGCGCAGGTGCGTATATATCTACATATAAACTATGTCATTCGTAATAATCAACCTCGTGCACCTCTTGCAGCGTCGTTTGGCCTCAAATATCGGGGCGCCCCAGCTCAGCACTAGAGAACCACGAAACAGCGAACCATAGAAGTACGAACCCTTACGTAACCCGAATCCATGATCACAAAAAGCACCCGCCAAAACTCCTAACTCTAAACCCCAAACCCTTAAACCCCAAGCCCTAAACCTCCTAACCCTAGACATGCTCCGCAGAACGGGAGGATGATCCGTGCGGCGCCTGTGACTTCCCGGAAGATCCGCTCCACACAGCTCAGGACGGGCCTCGGCTATGAAGTTCGAGGAATTGGAATGGGAGTTTCCGAAAATTAGGGGCCACCTCATTTTGGGTCCTTAGAATAAGGATCCTTCAGGGTGCTATATTAAGGTGCCTTTTTTTCGGAAACCCCCGAATCAGCGAAGAGGAACTGGGGATAGAACAAGCAAAGGACGTACAAAGTAGTGGACAACCACTCGCATTTGTAGGGAAGTACTGCTCGTAGACGACTACCACTGCTGGATCTCGAAGCACAGCGGCCGGCATCATCAGAATAAGCTGCCCGAGCCCTGGCACCACACCAACCAGCACGCGTACTCGTGGTGTGTTACCCTTCCGAGTCCCGGTATCTAGAGCTTAGGGTTCAGTTTTTTTTCGGCGCGCCCACTCGGACAACCCAGGCGACACATATGGTTGAGTCGGCTGAGCGAAACAAATCGGAGAGGAAGAAAGGAAGGCTTAGGGTACCCTGAACCTTATACACTTTGAATCCGCTTGCCTCTTCTGCGGTTCGAAAGCCCACACCGTTCAGGGTTGTGACCCTCGAGCTCACACATGGCGGGTTCAGCGCTCACACTCGGACTTGCCTGGCGAGGTCAGGGCAAATCCAGGGTTCAGGATTTCAGGGTCGTCACAACCCGAAATATTGAAAGCCCTGACATAAGGACAATTGTGTCGGTCTCAATTCCTACCAACCACTCCAAAACATCTGACTTTCCAGAATGCATATTCATCTTGTAGTCATGGCCAAGAATCCAGCAAACTGTGGCTACTACGGCCCTCTCTGGACTAGTCCTGCAAAGATGTGTGAGTTCTTCTGGAGTCTTAGCAGACTACCCACCCATAGAGTCATAGCCTACCCCTTTTCAAAGGACGCCCACTTTTCCAAGTACATCGCAGATCCTAAACATAAACCTAGGTACCTTGACGTATGACCACCTACTATAGGGGCCCCAAAAATCAGCATAGAGTTTGGTGGGTAATTATACCATAGCTGTATTAGGAAACCCCAAAACAGCTTGGCAATTTTTAATTTTAGGCCCCTCTACCCCTAAATCCCTTATAGAACCTATATAGTATCCCTTTTAAAGGAACCCTATTCTAATTCTTTCTTTTCGGCCCTTACCCGCAGGTCGACTGGTAGGCTCCTCCATGTTCCTGTCCTCTGTGACGAAGCCG